ACATGATCAAATAGGATACCAGCTTCAGAAAAATTAAGGTTCAAATTGTCAACTATTTTTTAGGGATCTGAAAAATATTCCCCATTTCGATTAAGCTCAACGGGCAGATTATCTGTTTTGGATGCCTTTTCGATACATTTGATTGTTTTCCAGAAAATCCTAGCATTTCCATGTGATTCCAGGAGAGTCGAAGAAAAGTAGTCATTTTTTGCATGCCGTATTTTTTTGACGCATCTATTCCTTAAAATCCTGTATTCTAGCCAGTCATTGACCAAATTACTTTTCTGAGCACATGCCCAAGCCTTGTCCCTAGTTTTCATGAGCTTTGTAATCAAAGGATCAAACCATGGTGGACGGTTGCCTTTAGTTTTAAAATTAACCAACGAAGCATGTTTGTTAAGAATTTGGAGAAACGTGTACCTGAAAGTTTCCCAAGCCGTAGTCAGGGTTGGGATATCACAGACCTTGTCAATATCCGAGTGAAGCACATCATTAGTGAATGCCTGAGTGCTGAAGTGTCTCATGGAGTGCTTCTCAACCAATTTAGGGGGGGGCTTTGGGTCTGGCTGATGATCTCACTCCAAAAATGAAGGAGTGATCACTAAGGTTATTACCCAGAACACCAGTCAGTGCGAAATTGTGAGGGGCATTTGTCAATAGGACGTCAAGCAGAGATGACTGTCCCGGATTTTTTTAGGTTGGGTCTTGTGGGGACATTTATTAATTGAAACAGGTTAAATTCATCTGCAAAATTTGTGGCCACGGCCGGCGAGTTTAGCCAATTGCAATTTAGATCACCCACTAAAACTATCTCACCTTTAGGGAGGCCCCCAAGAAGCTCTCTCAGTGCAGATGCAGCTTCAACATCTTTCCCGGTCTATAGCAGCACACTACCAATATCTGTTGATTATTAGGGAGAGCTATTCTGAGAGCCAGACCTTCAAAGCGACATTTTTTAAACAAGGAGTGAGCTGGTGAACATGCAATAGTATTACGAACATAGATGGCAATTACACCTCTTTTAGATCCTCGGTCAAGCCGAAAAAGGTTGTAGTTGTCAATCGTAATTTGCAAGTCATTGACGGCAGGAGTGAGAAATGTTTCTGTTAGGCAAAAAATGTCCGGGTCAAGATTTGCCACTTCTAGTTTTAGTTGACTTACTTTAATCACAAGCCCTCTGATGTTGACATGTAGAACATCAACACCTTTTCTGCCAGAAAAATCTACAGAATTATACGAGTTCTATACATTTGAGCCAGGATGAAGCTCAATACCACCCAGAAATAAGAAAAGTAGAATGAATAGTTTGCACAGGTATTTTCTGTGAAAGGATGAAGAGCGACGAACCTTGGACGAATAGCAGCAGCTCGCAGATGGGGTTATTTTTAAGAGCAGAATGAAGTTTGGAAGGAGTGCTGGTGAAGTAATGGGACAAAGATAGGGTTTAAAAGGATCAAATGATGGAGTGTAGAAGTGTCTATAAGCTTTTACACTATGAGATCTCTTTTACCAGTGGCAAAATATAGTAGTAGGTTTTTACCCTTTTAAACTGGTACAAAACTGACACCTTTATTCAAGGCATCATGTTTGCAATAACCACAACACAAGTAGTCAAAAAAGCAAACAAAAAGAAGCAACTCTTTAGAGCAACTCTTTAGAGCCTAGTCCCCATTGGTGTTGGACCAGATGACACCAGAAGGCGTACAACTCAAACACAGTGCAATATCAGAGTATTGAGAGCTCGGGGTAAGCATTTACACTATGAGATCTCTGTTTGTAGAGTTGATTGTGGCACTAGATATGGCCGGGAGGGACAGCAGTAGGATACACAGCAGGAGAATTGCCATCTTTAAAATATCCGGGGTACACACAGTTTAACACACAAGCGGGAAAAAAATACATATACTTGTAGTCCGAGAAAAAAAAGTCTTGCCGCACTCGTCACCACATGCACGGCTTCTCGCCCGTGTGCTCGGGTTGAACAGCCCCCCCCCCCCCCCCCCCCAGACAGAGACAGCAGATTCTTGGCTGCTGTGGGCTCGGCTGTGCCGCTTGCACCACCTCCTTTCCTCGCCGCAGGATGGTGCTCGAGCTAGCCCTCCTTGAGCCCAGCCCACTGCTGGAAAGTCGTTGCTTGGCCTCTCGTGACTCTGTTGCCCGACCAGACGGCCCCACTGAAGCCCACACAGGGGACTTCTTCTTCATTCACGACCCTTGGCCGTCTTGTCGATGTCCGTGAAGTTGTCCAGGATGGAGCGCACATCAGGGGCGGTTTCTTCATTAGGGCGATTGGGCGACGCACCACCAATGTCATTGAACCACAGAGTCACGCTAGCCGTCACTGTCAGCCTCTGGATATAGTCCAATCAGCGTCATGTCACGTTCTGTGGAGTACCGCCTCTTTTTGGGCGATTTCACTCCGGCTGAGAATCGCCCCGAGTGGCCCCATAGACTTGCATTCAAAGATGTTTTTTTTCGACCGGGGGGCGCTCCAATGCATTCTCTATGGCTTCCGGGAGGGCTCGCCCTAACGTGCTTACGTCATCATACGTGCTTACGTCATCATACGTAAGCACGTTTCATCCAACAATATAATTTGTGGCCACCGAGTGGAATCTTTCATAAAATAAACTTGAGTGGTTTGTTTTAATAGTGAGTATAGAAACAAACAAGATGTATTGTAAGAGTCACTTTATTTTTCATTAATATTAAAGAAGTGAAGTTGCCTTTACATGCTTAAGCTGTTGCATGGGTGTACCTTATCCTTATCAATCATCCAGACATTTGCCCCCCCTGAGAGATTTTGCAGGAGCCGCCACTGGCGCACATCGTCCTTGAGCCGCTTGTTAAACGACTGCAGCAGCGCCTGCTTGCTCTGGGGCAGCGCCCACGACATCTCGGGGCAGTAGCAGTGGAGAGTGCGCCGCTCTCTCTCAGGGCAGCAGCGGACGGAGCACGGCTCCCCTCAGGGCAGCAGTGGAGAGAGTGCGTCTGGCTCCCTCACGGCAGCAGTGGAGAGAGCGCGGCTCTCCCTCGAGCCAGCAGTGGAGACTACGGTGCTCCCTCAGGGCAGCAGTGGAGAGTGCGCCGCTCTCTCTCAGGGCAGCAGCAGACGGAGCACGGCTCCCCTCAGGGCAGCAGTGGAGAGGGCACGGCTCTCCCTCAGGGCAGCAGTGTATGCCGATGATCTGGTGATTGCTGCTCACTCAAAGGAGGAGTTGGAGTCACTGCTGGTGAACCTGGAGCGTGCCACTAAGAGGTGGAGCCTTACCATCAGCCCCACCAAAACGAAGCACCTGCCTGGGTAATATGTACCATCAGACACTCCACCCCCACATCTCCCAATTGGTGATGGGGCAGTTGTGGAGAGAGTGGAGAGTTTTCCATACACCTGGGTTTGACAGCAAAGGTCTTACTCCGAATCAGTCGAGCGGCATTATATTTTCATTGGCTTCATAACCCTGTGTGGAAGCTTCCTGGTCTGTCACTCCAGACGAGGCGTCGGGTCTTCTTGGCCACGGTCATGCCCTCCCTTCTCTATGCTTGCAAAATGTGGACTCCCCTAATGAACTCTTTGCCGGTTAAATACATTTCGGCTGGCCTGCCTATAATCCCTCCTGGGTTTAAAAAGGCTGGATTGTGTGAGGAGCTCACAAATCCTTGAAAGACCTGGACAAAGTCCCATTGGTGATCTTCTTCTGGCAGGCAAGGCTGTGTTAGCTGGGTCATGTAGCCCGCATGCCCAGCCACCGCATGCCCAGCCACCGCATGCCCAGCCACCGCATGCCCAGCCACCGCATGCCCAGCCACCGCATGCCCAGCCACCGCATGCCCAGCCACCGCATGCCCAGCCACCGCATGCCCAGCCACCGCATGCCCAGCCACCGCATGCCCAGCCACCGCATGCCCAGCCACCGCATGCCCAGCCACCGCATGCCCAGCCACCGCATGCCCAGCCACCGCATGCCCAGCCACCGCATGCCTAAACAGCTTCTGTTCGGCTAAACGGGCGCGGCACGGGCTAGAGAAGAGATGGAGTGATGTGGTACGGGAGGACGTGGAGCTGAGTGGACTTGCCGATGACTGGTACCAGCGGTGTCAAGATCGGCCTCAGTGGAGGAGGCTCGTGAAGGACGCTACTGGGCAGTTGAAGGCAGTCGCCCTCCAACAACAACGGAGGGCGGAGGGGCGACGCTCACAACAACGAGCGGACCGCCGGGTGGCTAAAGCACAGCAAGTTGGTACAGTAGGGGGCACAGGTGGTGCATCAGCCAGTCGTCTCAGTCAGTCGACCCGTGTCACCTGAGTCTGCCCCGTGACCTCCTGCCAGCGGGCGTTCGACACTTCACGTGGCCTCAACGTGCACATAGCCTGGCACAAGCGTCGTGCTGACGTCACTTAGTGGCGAATGGCGGTTGTTGTTGTGAATTATCCGAGTCCCAGGCTCGGTGGAGCTCCGCCCACCCCGCAACACCCCCCGCCCCCTCGGCTAAGTAGCCCCGCCCCCTTCCCCCCCCCGCTTCCCCCGCCCCCTCGGCGAAGTAGCCCCGCCCCCTTCCCCCCCCCGCTTCCCCCGCCCCCTCGGCGAAGTAGCCCCGCCCCCCCCCCGCTTCCCCCGCCCCCTCGGCTAAGTAGCCCCGCCCCCTTCCCCCCCCCGCTTCCCCCCGCCCCCTCGGCTAAGTATTGTAGCATCCCCCGCTTCCCCCCCCCGCTTCCCCCCCCCGCTTTCCCCCCCCCCGCTTCCCCCCCCCGCTTTACCCCCCCCCCCGCTTCCCCCCCCCCCCGCTTCTCCCCGCTCCCTCGGCTAGTTAGCTCCGCCCCCTTCCCCCCCCCGCTTCCCCCCCCCCGCTTCCCCCCCCCCCCGCTTCCCCCCGCCCCCTCGGCTAGTTAGCTCCGCCCCCTTCCCCCCTCCGCTTCCCCCCCCCGCTTCCCCCCCCGCTTCCCCCCGCCCCCTCGGCTAGTTAGCTCCGCCCCCTTCCTCCCCCCGCCCCCCCCCGCCCCGCCCGCTTGCCGCGCGGGGCGATGGGAACGCGGCTCCCGTTCTAATTCATAAAATGGCGGCAACGTCGTCGCAAGAGACGAACAGCGACGATGAATTCGAGGCGGGTTTGACGTTTTTAACGTTTGACGCGGATGTGTTTGCTGTTCAATTTTCCCTTTTTTTTCTTGTTAAATCGTTGTAATTTTTGCGTTAATTCGCGTTTGTTTCTCCCGGCAACGTGAATCTCCCTCACGGGTTTATTTGTGTTGTGTGTGTGTGTCGCGCGATGACCCGTGCGTGGTGTTGTTGTTGTTGTGTTTACGATGTCTTTAGAGTTTATTAACATTGTGGGGTTGCGAACATTGGCAGTCAGCGCGACGAACCCGGGTACCCGAGTTCGTTTCCCGCTCACGGATTATTTGAACCGGTGCTGGGCCTCGCCCTAGGTAGACTCGGCCTCAAATCCTACCCCGGTGCGGAAGACAAAGGCGGCCGGGCGTGGTGTTGCCCCCCCCTCGTGTGATGCTCGAACTTGCAGGCTGTGACAGGCCGCACGGCGGGGGGGTCTTTGTTTTGATGGCGTGAGAGTTTTAAAGTTTATCTCCGTCCCTCATCGCCTTGAGTTTTGTTTGGGGGTTCAATGTTAAATAGACGTCGATTAACAAACCCGCTAATTTTTTAATGTTTCTAATTAAGGGGGGTGGGGTTTGACGCGGGTTCGTTGTTAAATGACTTGGGGGGTGGGGGCATGTGTTGTCGGTGGTGGTGTTGTTGGTGTTGTTGGTGTTTGTGTTGTTGTTGGTGTTGTTGTCGGTGTTGTTGGTGTTTGTGTTGTTGTTTGTGTTGTCGGTGTTGTTGGTGTTTGTGTTGTTGGTGTTTGTGTTGTTGGTGTTTGTGTTGTTGTTGGTGTTTGTTGTTGTTGGTGTTTGTGTTGTTGATGTTGTTGTTGTTTGTGTTGTCGGTGTTGTTGTTTGTGTTGTCGGTGTTGTTTGTGTTGGTGTTGTTGTCGGTGTTGTTGGTGGTGTTGTCGGTGTTGTTGGTGTTGTTGTCGGTGTTGTTGGTGTTTGTGTTGTTGGTGTTGGTGGTGTTGTTGTTGTTGTCGGTGTTTGTGTTGTTGTTTGTGTTAATGCGAGTTTGGTGCGCGCGCTCGGTCTCGTCTACAAGTGCGGGAATGTGAACAAAGCTGCTATTGTTTAATGTCATCATTACGTGTGGTTATTTACAGCAGTAAGTGGTGTGTGTGAGTGTGACAGTGGTGGCGGCGTGTGACGTGTAAACGTGTTAAAGTTACCGCCAAGGTTAGAATGTTTTTTTATCATCGGCTAATGGCTAGAGGTTTAACATATCTACAGCAACAACGTCAGCTTCATCTCCGTCAATTCCATTGTCAATTTCTGTAACTTAAAACAGTAACATCAACTATATGAACGTTAACTGCATGAACAACTCGTCAACATCGTGAACATCAGCTTAGTCGCCATCAACAACGGAATTGTCAACGTAACCATCGTCCCCCCTCCATCACCGATTCCCAGATCGGTCGTTATCATCAGCAGCTTCTTTACCATCAACTTAAGCGCCATCAACTCTAAACTAAAAAGTCTCGTCATTATCACCACCACCTGTAGCATTAACAGGTCTTAAAATTCGGCCAATTTACCGACAGCTCTTATCAACTGGCATCATCGTCAACCTTCAATCGAATCATCCATAGTCCATCATCAACCCCATCACCATCATCACAGCCATCAACCCTATGGGGGTTTACCCTATGGGGGTTGATCAAAAAGTGAATACCACCACCATATGCTGAAATTGAAGCATATCGTGGTCCTACGGATATATTGTTCCCCGCCATAAGAATGTGGAATTGTCATCACCCTTCTCAGGACATGATGATGTGTAGTGGAGCCCTGTCTTAATAGTGCTCGTTATAGCATCACGTGCGTGTTGTCTGTGTGTCTGTGAGATGTATTTCGGCGTGGCTTGTTTAACCATTTGAGAGCCCGTAGTGGCGAGACAGTGCGTGGACGTCAATTACTGCGATGTTGCGGCCCCTCGCCCCTTTTAATTCGCTGAGTGTGCTCTATTTTAGTCCAGTCGGGACGACAGCCTGTGGAACTTTAGTCAAGTCTTCTCCATCTGTATAGATTTCATTGAGTAATTTTTTTGGTCTATTTGACCTAAAGCAGTCAAACAATGCATGCCACTCTTTGTTATTATATGTCAATTATTTTACTCGGTAAATATTTGCGTATATATAGTGTGTGTATATACAGTATAGCCAATTACCGATTTTGGTTATACTCTGTTCATAGTCTGTTTTCACCCAGATGAGTTAATTTGGTGGTCTTGTCTCAGTCATGCCTTGCATGGCTTTGGGTGGAAAAGTCACGGCCACGTTTGACGACTTTTCATCGACTCGCAGCCACCACCATGGACCAAAATAACAAGCAAACCAAAACAATAACTTTCGCGACAACTATTTCCAAGAGCCGGGGAACCGCGCGAACTAACTTTGAACCTCTCCCCTCGCAGGTGGAGGCCATCCTGGACTGGCGAGTGCGGCGTGGCCGCGCCGAGTACCTGGTGAAGTGGAGCGGCTACGGCGCGGAGGAGAACACGTGGGAGCCTCCCGAGAACCTGGTCAACTGCCCCGAGCTGCTGAGCAACTTCAGGGCGCGCACGCCGCAGCTGTCGAGCCCCGTGCGCAGCCGCCACGGCACGCCGCAGGGGACCCCGCGACGCAGGTCCCAGCTCCCCGGTAGCCCCCCCGGGTCGCCAACCGCACGTCCACCCATCAAGGAGGTTCGTTTAGTTGTTTTTTTATGCTTGAGTAATTATGCCGAGCAACGGGGGGGGGGGGGGGGGGTGGTGGGGGAGCGGCCGTATATACGGCGAGGAAGCCAGGGTAACAAACGGCACTATTTAAAGTAGTAATAGATGAGAGTTAATACTTCACTTCAAGTGAACGAGGTTATTTTAAGAGCTATGGGAAAGAATTCCAAAGGCCCAAACGCCAAGTGGGCCAGTGTTACGTGTGTTTTTGGTGTTGCTGATGGGATTGTGGTGGGGATTGTGGTGGTCATTGTGAGAACGGAGATTTATTTTTATCGGTTAAGGAAAGGTAAAAATTGTGAAATGTTGGCTGCGATATATATGATGGATTAACTGAGCCTGGCAATCACGTCACGCCTCCGAATTGTTTGATTTAATCTTGCCAGCTCTTGAGCTTGTCTTCCAGTTCTGCCTTAAGTAATGTGCAATGTTTTGTGAACCTTGAAGCGCGGTCGAGATCGTATGCAACATAGCTAGACATGGAAAAGACCGCAGATTCATTCTGAAGGGTTGTCACCCTCCTCCCAACTCAAAATCTACAGTGCCATCTCGGGCTACAAAGGGATGTGGCGAGACGTTAAATGATTGGAAGCTTAAATTCCGCTTTAATCGAACGTGGGGCGGAGGCGCGCGATGGCCTGGCATGGCAAGGTTAAGGGCTCCCTCGGGTCTGGAGTCGGTCGGGCGCGCAATTTTTTCCCGTTGCCCCACCAAGCAAGCATGTCGTCACCCAACCCACCCCTATTTATAGTCGTTGCATCATCATCGCTGCCACTGCCGCTCAAACACACACATGGTTGACAGGCGCCTCTGTGTGTACATTTGCGTGCAGTGTCGCTGTTAGGGCACCGCGCTATGAATCCTGCTCACAGCCAATATTAGTAACATTTAAACTGCTCCTTGGACTTCCCTAGGTCGCCTCAGCCTTAATTAAATAAGTATCTGGTGTTGGGTCATCACGCTGAGCGTCATCACGCTGAGCGTGATGACTGGCCACACCCACCCACTTGCGTTCTTTTCGATCCTTTATTTTTTCTTTATTGTTGCTCACGAACAGCGATCTCCCCAGCGGTCTGTTAAAGCCTACGTGACAGGGATCACAGGTGGTGCATATATAATTAATTTAATCCATAACACATGGGTCTATCCTGTGGCTTACCAGCGAGTCTTAAACACATTACGTGACCTCAGAGTGCACCTAGCCTGGCAGAAGCATTGTGTTAACGCTGTCTGTTGATGAATGGTTGGCTGTTGCTTGTGTCTGTCCAATGGTGGGCAGCTGCCGGGCAAACAGGTGGAGCAAGAAGCAGAGCTCAACCACGCCGGGGACACCAGCGCAGCGGTCGACACGCGCACACACAACGGCACGCAGGTTAGCATTCACCGGGACGGTGGTCAGTAAAGCGGTGGTTAGTTGGTAAAACCGATTGCTGCTTCAGCAACAGCTGATATGCGTTGCTTGACCTTTGCCCAGAGCTGCACCGTTACAGTGAATGGTCGCCGACGACCGGTGGCTGAAGGTGACGTGTATTCGAGCCGGCATGGCTCACGTGGTGTGTGCCACGTGGAGTGGGCGGTTGGGCGGCCTGCCGAGATTTATTTTCGGTTGTGTTTTTGAAAGGCCGAGCGCGGGGGGGGGTTTGCTTTATAGTGGAGCCACTGTGTGTGCGCGTGTGTGTATATATGTCATGCTCTGTTGGAGTCACCAGTCAACCTTCTCATTGGGAGGTCGCTCCTCCTCTGCTGCCCCTATTGTCTGTAACTCTTCCTCCTGGCCATATGTACTCCCAACTCCCTACCTCTGTTAAATTCGATCTCTTCTCAAAATAACATAAATACATATCAAGTATGCCTTCATGTGCCCCGTGACACAGGAGGATTCCTGCGAGGACGGGGGCGTGACGCAAGATGAGATGGCGCAAGAAGACAGGGCCCAGGCGGTACCAGCACAGGACAGCGACATCGACGCAGACGTGGAGGATGGGAGTAGTAGGTGAGCGTCACGAGGCTCACTCGTCCGTTACTTGGGCATACAACGCACCTCGCCCATCGCTTCGCGTGTGCAAAAACGTGAATTGTTTGAAATACGAGAAACATCTGACGTATATTTTTAGTCGATCCCAAAGTGGATGTGTATTTGTTTTTAGTCCATCTGAGGGCACCACAGTGGCAAGATGCTTACTTCCTCACCTGGTATTCGGGAGGTCGTGGGTTCGATCCCGACCCTGACGCCTGTATATTTGGAGTTTGCATGTTCTCTCCGTGGTTGCGTGGATTATTCTACAGGTCCTCTGGTTTTTCCCTCCACATTTTGAAAACATGCGTTTAGAGTATTTGGCTGCTTACAATTCTACATAAGCCACTTCGTTGAGATGTCACGTGTGGCCAGGTCTCTTCTCAAAAAGAGCTTTACAGCTCAGTGTGCTTTACCTGGTAAAAAAAAAAAAAGTTGTAGTACGAGAGGGCAGACTGGTGCGTGCCTAGGCTAGTCCCTGCCATATCGCGCAAGCTCATTCGCCCGAGTGGGTGGGTGGGCGGACGAGCGGGCGAGTTCAGATGATGGGCTCTTTAGAAAGCGGTCTCGTACTATTAATAGGCTTACTTGTCGCAGCAAATTTCACGCCATCCAAGTTAAATAACCCCCCCACCACCACCCTTCCCCTAGCACGGCACACCCTCCTGCGAATACAGGTTATAAATAGAAGCCACCATGCCCTCGTGCCACACGTGTTCATGTGGCGGCGAGCGCGTGTGGGTGAATGTGTTCTGTGCGCACGTGTAAACAACGCATGGATGACGCATGCGGCACCATGTCCCTGGGAGAGGCGGGGCTTGCGTTGCCATGACAGCAGCAGCGACACATCACCGTGGGTCCAGATTCTGTGTTAGGACCCCTCACCCCTCTCCACTTTGTTCCTTTGCGAATTCATACTCGCTCGGCGCTAGAGTTCAGCAGTAGACTAATGATTATTTAACCCTCCTACTGCATTACCAATGTTCAAGGAAACATTTGTTTCCATACCTGTCGACCCATACGGTTTACCCTTATTCTTGTTCAGGGAAATTAAGTTTTCAGGTCTATACGGCGTACAGCCGTTTCAATACGGGAAAAATATTTTTTGTCTTTGTCTTTCTCCCTTGTGATGGGACTTTATAGGATGAACGTTGAGCTTTATAAGGGCACGGGGTGACCAATAAGGTCTGAATTGGTCTGTAATAAGGTAGGCACTGATATGGGATTGACAGGAATGTGTTTCAGGCACTGGCTCTGTATGACACGAGCTGCGGTGGCATCTGTATAAATCCACATGGTGTCGCGTGCACCTCTGCCAATGAAGCATCACCGGATAGTTTGAGAAGTGGGCTTGGGCAAGACGCGTCGTGAGAAGGGGGTGGCGGACGATAGTCATGGACAATAACGGAGTGGCAGCCAAGGAATGGAACGCGTCTTGGAGGATGTCCACTGAGGAGATGGAGACAATGACTTAGGCTTGTGCAATATGGCGGCGGCGGCTTTGGGGTGCCTCCAACTAGCAGTGGATTGACCATGGCTGACGGTTAGCTTTTAAAAATAGGTGGTAAAAGTGAAGCAAATCTGCAGCCTATCACTTAAATCTGCAGGGTTGACAAATATCCATGTGGCACGAGGCTGCCCAATTATTTCCATGGCCTTGACTTATCACGTTTTGCTCATGATAGTAAAGTCTGTCATGGCGTAAACATTTTGATTTGTTGTCTTGGCGGTGGTGGTGTATGCTCCTGCCCACACATGGCTGGTGGTCTCCGCTTTTGAAATGTTTTCTGTCTCATCGACCGCTCGGTGCAAGCGTGGGGGGTGTGATAACGATGACGCAGTGACCCCTCGCCGGGTCCTCTGAGCAGCGCAGTCGGGTCCGGCGGGTTGTTGCACAACGGAACTGTTACGGGTCTCGTCTCGCGGAGTCGCCTACCCACAACCAAGTCTCTCTCTCTCAGCCTCTTTGGTGACCAACCTAGCGCAGCAAAGAATGGCAATGCTCGAAGCGGAATCTCAGTGAATTAGTGGTCGCAGGAAGCTGAATGGGTTTGACATTTTACACTTGGCCAGAGGCGAATTGTTTTAGTTCATTTCAAGTGATGGGGGATGTCAGCATATCCAGTTGCACAATTGGCTGCATGGGCCGGCAAGGAACGATTTCCAAGCCAGTGCAGTAACGGGTACACACACACTCGGATACGATAAACAGTAAAGACTGCACGCGACACGAACTCTAGGACATCGTACCAAATAACACGCGGCACAACCCAGAAACACATCAGAGCGCTATATAGAACCGTAAAATTATGCGCAGTGATAGAGATGGCATGTGGGTGGGTGGTGGCGCCATCGTGTTTTTGTCGGCACTGGGAGGTCGGCTTCTACTGGTTCCACCGTGCGTCGACTCTTGCCCCGTTTCACCTGCAGCGACCCGGAGCTCTCGAAGTCATCCGGCTCTCCCACACGCCCGTCCGCGGCAGCTCTCACTGCGTGCCACCTAGTTGTCACACGGCGCGTGTGCGAGGATATTAGAGCGACACGGGAGACGTGACCAACAGCGGTACGCAAGCAGAGGCGTGCGCAAGAGGGTCGCGCCGTACATCCTTTGCATGCGCGTGAGCGTGTGGGATCGGCCGACTCCCACCCCTCGTCATCATGGCTCTGGCCAATGTGGTGGATCCCTTTTATGCTTTTGATGTTGTTGACGAGCGATTACCCAGGCATAAGTGGAGCGGTGCGAGTGGTCAAGTTGGGGGGGGGGGTGCGCTTAGTTTGTTGAGGGCTGTCACGTCTGGTGAATGCTTGGTGGGGGCACGGCTTGCCTGACTGTACAGGGCGCTGCTGGTGCTGCACACACTGGGGGTGGCTTTGTGGGTGGCGCAAGCGGTAAGAGAGGTTGAGAAATTGTATCGGACCACTACTGGTGATATACACAGACTGCATGCGTCCATGCTTGACTCAACAATGCATGCCATTTCATTAATGTCATGTAGTGCATATATTGTGATGTTGACCTTGCTCTTCACAAATAACTTTGCGTCTCAGGTTATGGACCATGAGCTGCATCATCTATGATGAGCGTGTTTGTAACTTTTGCAAGTCCCCACCTGGTGCACGTGCCGCCTGTAACCGGTGCAGTCTTCATTTACTCAGAAACTTTTTATTTAGTCACACTGTTAGGCAGTCAAAAAATGTGTCTATACTTTATTACATGCTGGTGAGTGGTGTGGAATGCTTTTATCGTAAGGCTAGCCAATTAGTGAACTCTTTCAAAAATATACATAGAGACAATTACCTTTTTTATATCTTCCTCCGTGCACTGCAGTTTCAATAACGTAAATAAATTATCTTGTCTGTGTCTTTGTATAGTTAGTTCCGTCATAGTCATGCTTTGGTCTTTGGTGGGTAGAAGTCAAAGTCAGTCATGCTTGAGGATTTTCGTCCACACTTTGGCCGAGGAATATTTTCGACGCTCGGTAATCAACGTTGCACCCCACGGCCTGTCCCATGCGTGTGCGGTGCAGGCTGTTGGACGCCAGCGGCCTGCAGCGCACGAGCTCGCGGAGGCGGCGCCGCATGAAGCCCGTGCGGCAAGACACAACGGAGAGCGAGGACGACGCCAGCGCCGTGGTGAAGCGCCCGCGCTGGAGCCTGCGCCTGAGTCCGCACCGCGAGGGGAGACCGTCAGCCGAGGTACAACGCGCGGCAGTGGTGCCGGAAGCGCCCTCTGGCACACTGCCACCTGTCCACCGTGCTCTTATCGGTGTGCTCGACCAGCGCTGTGCTAAGCACATGCATGCTTCCTTGCGACGACGCTGTTAACAATTGAACCTTATGGCGGGACCCGAATAAACGGAAGTCAAAATCGTAATTAATTTATTTTTGGCGACTCGTCCCACCACGCACATAAACGCCTCGACCCACCTGGCGCGGATCATTCTGTTATGTAGTCCAAGCGCAGCGAGGACGAATGCGCAGAAGAAACAAAACTTTCAAACATTGATTAGCGCATCGTGTACAGCTCGTCGAGAGGAACAGATTGCCATATCGTTCGCCTTCAACAGACATAAAATGACGTCGCAATGCAGTTTATGCTAGAGCCGGGGGCTTCTGGGGTCCTGCCATAAGGTTAAATTCAGGAATGTCATTATTCTCCCCCTTCCTATTTGATTCAGTAATCTATTGTCTCATTTTTACCATCTCGTTTCTTTGGTCTGGGGGCATTGGCTCCATTAAAATAAATAAAACATAAAATTTCCATTTGCATGAACATTCGATAATTCATTGTGGAACTTAGGAATCGGTATGCGGTGACCAGCGTAAGAATGCACTTGTGAAGCTGAACATCGCCCATTCCGACAGACGAGCGGTGGTCTCCGATGCTCCCCTTCCTCCCGTCGTAGGAGAGCACGTCGAGGGTGCGGCCCCTCTGCGTGGCCCACCCGGGAACGGCTGATTCCTGCGATGGACCCAGCGAGGCCCAGGGTGCCGACAAGGCGGCGGCGGCATCACACGCCGTGGGTGGCCGGCGCAAGCGCTGGGCGCTCCCGGCCGCATGCACTGTGGGCATTGCACTGCTGCTCCTGCTGGCAGCGTACGGCGTTCTACAGCGCGATGGGTAGAACACTTGTATTGAGAGTACGGGCGCGACCTTGTCTCCCCCGTGACTCTCCCTAAAGCGCCGTCAGGGTGCGTTCATTGTAATTGTTCTCGTCTTGTTTCTCGATGGCCTCTTGAGTGTTGGATGCATTCTCCTCAGAGGGGAAATTCTCTCCGAAACCGCATTTGTATTTTCCATGTGTGTGTAATCGTACACCTTGTGCATCTGGGTCTGTGCCCCTCCTGTGCCTGACTGCAGGTTTTATATATTTTCCATCTATTTTTATTTTGTTATGTTATCAGGAGAAGTATCAGCCAAGGCTTTGGCAGTTTTTTGGAATTGTCAAATAGCCCAATTGCAAAAGTCTTGATTGCAGTTTTTAGCAAACTTAAATTAGTGGCAGACCACACCAAATGTTAACGTTGACCGAAAATGCACAAGTGTTTGCCGTATGTTGCACTTTTGGGTAACTACATGTGAAATGTTGACATTTCCTCAGCATTTGACTTAAATTGAGAGAACACAGCAAACATGGCCCCCTCTCCTTCAAAACCACTGCAGGACTGTCTGTGCAACGGAGCGCCTCGGTGATGGCCCCGAGCTCTTGGACTGGCGTGAATACCAAAATGTACAAATGCTCGGATTTGAGAATATCACGAGGGGAGAAAGTGCGTTGGCTTTTTTTGCAAGCGGTGTCAATTTCGTTCGGTGCGATTGATTTTAAGGTGGCTTCCTGACGGGCGCTGCGCGCTACATGTGATCAGTTCCACCGTGAAGGGCAGCAACTGGTCCAAGAGGCCAGGAATTAGGTGAATGTGCAACATGCACACAAATGTTGCGGTTTATTGTTGATCATAAAGAAATGTAATAGCTCCCCCCGGACGTGTCTCCGGGGTTATCATGTGCTGTTGAGCACGATGTCCAACGTTTTGCTCCAAGCGTTTGGAGCTTTGGAAAGTGAATTGAACAGTTCGCTTGCCCTCCCCCAATCTCATGCTGAACAACAGCACAGTACAACTCAAGTGCACCAAGAGATGTACAGCACATTCGAGCTGTACAGCACATACGAGCTGTACAGCACATCCGAGCTGTACAGCACATCCGCAAAAACCTTTGCTGGATAATGGAATAAAATATTTAATTGTGATGTGGAATGGGAGTGACCGAGACCAGAGTTTCACAGAGGTGTGTTGCATATGAAAGTGAATGAAATGGTGAATATGGGCGATGCCAAGCAGATGCCTCTTCCTACCCTTCCCTGTAGTATTCGTCTGTGTCCTCAGCTCTCCGATGTGTTTGAGTTGTAGCACGTTGGTCAGCACGGCAGTTATTTGAAGCTTCCAGCACTTAGAATAAAAGTTGGGACAATGATGCTGAACCAGCCGTGGTAGGACACGAAAATGCATGGGAGAGGGATACACAGCACAACCGCGAAAACCTACACCGTGGCCTTAGCTGCCACCGCTGCCCTACACTGCGGACTTTTAAAATCTGGACTTAATTTTTTGGATAATCTTGAGAAACAAAACACGTCGCCAATCCTTCCCGGTCTAGGTGAGGTGTGTATTCTTCAAATGCATGGAGTTGTTTGTAAGTAACCACTCAATATTCTTTGTATAAATTGGCCTTGTCAGCAAGTGCGGTGTTAGATGGCTGGCGCAGGTCATTTAGCAAGTGGAAATATTGTACATAATGCCTCAACTTAAATTAACTTCCAGATGACAATATTTAGTTTGCTGCCGACCTGTCACTTAACGGATGTTTTAAAGATGTAACCCAAAAAAGTGCTTTTACCTTGTAGTTGAAGACAGGTAATGGGTTCAGGCGTTGACACACATTTCAAGCCTATAAAGCGATCGTAACATTGCCACAGTATTTATTTGAGTGATGCGGTGGTCATTGGAGTGCTGACCATAACCTAAGGGTTTTCTCACAGCTCTAAACAAAGCTTCACACTTAACAGACAGCCATTAACAGCCTGTCTACCTACAAGGTAAGAGCACTGTGATGGTTGGGTTTGTGTGCATGTAAGAAGTCTGGACTGCCAGCCGACCACATGTAAAATCCTGCACATTAAAGTCGTACCTATTTTTATTTCAAGTGTGTGGCTTATAAACTCCCCCCTGGGCTCGTCAGTGAAGAACGTGAACAAAATCACGAGCACCATGATCTCTTTGATCAAGTCAGCCTGGACTGCTACAGACAGCGCCATTGGGTGTAGCCTTTATTAAATTTCTAAAACAAAACGCAGAGCGGTCACAACTGTACATGCCACAGAGCTGCTGTGCAGACGCGCTGAAACGCAGCACTGCCAACGAGTTCCTTAAAAATAACACCTCCGCTGCCAGTAGCTGTTGAAACAGCTATCCCAATGGTCTATGAGATTGCAAACGGTTCTAATGGGAGTCACAGGTCTGACGTGTCCCACTGTCAAAGCTAAACACCCAGACGGCTTCCGCATGTGTACATTTTTATTGTAGCATTGAAGTGACTCACCACAGGCTATCACTTACAATATATTAGGATCTCATTCCATGAGAAGTTGTTTTTGCAGGACCAAAGATTAACTATGGGGTTTGAGTAGCAGTACTAGGTGATGGTTTTTATTAATAAGAGTTTAGTGCTGCCCACTTGCGGTAATGCTGGGGTAGAGCACCGCTTAGGGAAACGAAGTAAATCTCAACACTATACAGTACTTGGAATTCACGTGCATAGGCACAAACAACGCCATGCATATCCATGGGATCAACGTGACGAGATTAATGGTGGAAGCGACAGTGCGCGCTTCCCTGGTCTCTACCCCCGAATTCTCGTACACTTATCAGAATAACAGAAGGCAAATAAAACACCAGAAACCTCACGGCAAAATACAGCAGCAGCAATAGAATTCTTCAATTGAGCATTCAAGGTAAAATGAACAAGCCTGCACCCTCGGGAGTGGTATTTAATTTGCCTCTGACACATCGCACATGTACTACAGCGCCTCCTCCCCCCATCCTGCCATTCCCCTGAAGGGCTTATCCGACCACGACGGTGTCTTCGTCGAGGAACTCGTAGTAGGGCACCTCGAGGTTCAGCGGCGCAGGCCCCTTGCGGATGCGCCCCGAGTTGTCGTAGTGGGAGCCATGGCACGGGCAGTAGTAGCCATTGAACTCGCCCATGTTGGGGATGGGTACGCAGCCCAAGTGCGTGCACACACCCAGCACGATGAGCCACTCGGGTTTCTTGGCACGTTCATTGTCATGCTCGGGGTGGCGCAGCTCGGCCAAGTTCACCTGCGAGCACAGCACAGCGCCATGGGTGAGTAGGAGTCCAGATACAATGGGGTGAAGTGTGGATTTATGTGGTAGCGAAAAGCAACCTTGCCTCAACACTGTATAGAGACGGTGGGCATATTTAATTATGGGTACGGGCTTTCGGTCATAGGTCTATGTGGATCTATGGGTGTCTGAGCATAAACAAGAAAATGTGGATGAAGTGATAAAACAAAACTTTCAGATGGCCAGAATTTTGTATCCATGCCCAATTTTTTATTGTCTCATAAGCAATTGGGAGCATGTCCCAAGTGGACAAAACATAATACAAAGAAAGTCAGGGCAGCACGATGACCAGACCTTCTGCTCGACGTTGACCTCCTCTGCGGTGCGGTGGCGGATGAAGAGGGGCTTCCCGCGCCACTTGAGGGTCACGTTCTGGCCCTCGCCAATGTTGTTGAGCTTGACTTCGATCTTGGCCATGGCCATGACGTCGGCCGAGGCACTGAGCGTGGCCACGCCCTTAACAACTGCCGCCTTGGCAACGTACAGGCTCGCCACGGCCGCGGCGCCCGTTACCAGGTAGCTGAACGCCTTGCGGGATTCATAGCTGTCCTGTGGGTGGGGGGGGGGAGATGTGATACCAGCGACATCATGCCTGTTCTCCCCACTAGCACCAGTGTCAACAAAGACCCCTATTCCACTGGCACATTTGAGCTGAGTCGTAGCAGGGGCCCTCATGGTATGGGTGGTTTTCCACATTTTAATAATTGGGCTCAGGGCCAAGGAATGGCAGGGTGAAGACATGTTCAGTGCGTAGGACATAGGTAGCACGGCTTCTGCAGTGGAAAAATCTGGTGCCTACGGAGCCGTACTAGGCTGGATCAGCACGGCCCTGGTGTGGCTTGGCTGTACCAGTGGGAGAAGATCTCAGGTGTACAGTGGAATATAAATATATTCCTAAAATGTTTGCAGTCCCATCGGAACAATATTTGTTCCCATCAGAAAACATCTGTTCCAGTTCGAGTAACCTTGTTTGAGAAACAAAAAGGGGGTACAAATATCCGTGAGGGGACCCTATGTTGCTAAGGGAGAATGAGTGTTCCTGGGGAAAATATATTGTAAGGCATGGGGGGGGGGGGGTGACATGCATCACAAGGTGATGCTGGGCCAGCTTGTGTGACGTTTCTCACCTTTGAGGACTTGTTGCTGTCTTGTACATCTGACCGTCTGTACGCACTGTAGTCCGGGACACTGACATCGGTATGCGCGAAACGTACGCTGCTGGTTGCTGCCAAAGACAAAGATGCCCCGTTGAATCATCCCCAAGATGCTGGGGCAAGCACTGCTTGCAAGGACTGATAAAAGCGTGGCGTGGCCGCTCGATGGAATGGTTGTGGCCAGCACCACGCTAAGCTCCCTTTGTCTCCCAGGTGGTGACATTTACACAACAGGATCAAGGTGCCATGAGTGCCAAAGCCGTTGATGCCACCGCCACGCCTCACCGTCTTCTACCCTCCGCCAGATCCCGCAGCTCCTGCACAGTCGCGACTCGCAATTTGAAAGAACTGCCGTAACATATTTCTGATTTTCCAAGAACTGTCCTTGTCTCCTGCACCTCCGATTACCACGGCTGGCTACATATAGTGCGAAAGAAATTCAACATATATATTTGTTGACAATATATGGTGGATGGTGGCAGAACATTACACACTAGGTGCAGCCATATCTTTCCAAATGTGTGAGGATTATATTGGCCTACTTGAGGCTCATCTACTTACGACTAATTGTATTGATCTGGATGAGTCAGGACTGGTTCAGATATTGTCCACTAATGTTGGCCATGAGAAGGAATTCAATTGAGGTCACTGTTTTTTTTATGGCAAACCCCCCCCCCCCCACACACAACGCAGTGCTCCAACGCACGCAACAGCAAGTCAGGCTCTTCAAATACTACGATTAGCACGGTTGGCTACGTATGGTGCGAAAGTTCAACATACATCTCACCCACCGTGGTCTGTTCGAGTGACTGGCTTCCTACCAACCTCCAGTCTCACTGCATTCAATGGGAGGTTATTTCTCCTTAGCTGCTCATTGTCTGGAATTCCCTGACATCAAAAACATGGCCTGTTAGTCCAATACACATCTTGACCTACTCACATCCCACTGTAAGAGACATCACTGCGCAAGTACAGAAATATCCCGGCTTACGTCGAGAGCATGTGCCTGAAAAGCTGCGACCAATATCGAAACGACGTAAATCAAAGCATTTTTTGTCCAAATCACCAAGATATTATCCATAAGTACTCTACGGTACAGTACATTTCGAGGCGAAGGCTGAGAGGCGACGGATAGTGAAGGCAACGCAAATCAGGAGATGGTAGTGCTAAGGTGACTACGTGATCTCATCCCTCGTGGTTATGGAGCAGAGTTTTGGACATTCTCCCCTACGTCGCGGTTCGTGCTCTGTATCGGGCTCCTATTGAACTATAACGAAAACGACGTAAAACGCTGGTGGGGTATTGCTGTACACATTCACAAACTTGCCCAATTGTTGAGACATAAATGCCACTACTTGACAGCGATTTTCACTCCACTGCTGGATGACGGCCTCTTCACGCCGCGTCGGCCATGGGGGTTGTTTGACCATACTTCACCGCGCTGGTCAGTCGAGGTCTCAACTGGTCCAGGATGTCCTGGCTTAAACAAACTTGGCTAGCGGACAATACTGGGGCTGTATATAACGAGAATTAGGATGGATTTTATTTATTTTATCACAGTTTCTGAGCACAGGCCTAAAGGCCCAACGTGCCAAGACGGCCAGTAACAAACGGCACCGTGAAAGATGCAATCGTTGGTACGTTTTCTGGAACTTATCAAGGGCACATTGAACTTGGAGGGCAAAAGAGACGATGGGAGGGAATTCCAAAGCGGAACAGTGCGAGGGAAGAAGCCTCGATCTCATGTACGGAGACACACCGACTCGGAGCCGCTGTTATATTCCTTGTGTGCCTGCACTGGTCCCACAACATCAAACTCGTGCGAGAAACACTGCCTCAGTACTCTCGTGTAGTGTCTAGGCCAGTGTTAGTTAGACACCTCCAGCGCAGAATCACAAACACAGCTTGTACAACAGTCCGAGGTGGTGTTGTTGTTACTGTACTCCGTAACCTTCAACGCCCGAGGCCTGCACCAATGTCGCCTCGGCCTCCCCTACTAACCCATCACAACGCCGCATTACATCGCCGCAAGAACTAAAACAACCACGAGAACACCATCACCACACGATCACCATCACACCACCACCATCACCACCATCACCATCATCACCACGATCATCACCCCACCGCCGAGGCCTCACCGACGGGGCTCGAGGAGGCTGCGATGGCGGCTGTCCGGGGCAGCAGCTGCCGGAGCGCAGCGGCGGTGAGGCGCTCCCTCGCCGCGTCCGCGACCACCCTCTCGGCCGCCTGGCTCGGCAGCACCACCAGCGCCTTCAGCTGCGAGGCCACGACGCTGGACGAGGCGGAGGCGTAGGGCCCGAGGGCGTTGAGGCGCGACACGAGGCCGATCATGGCTGCGGCGGCGGAGAAGGCTTCTGTGGGGGGCGCCCGGGTCACGGTGGAGGAAGGACGCGGGGCGAGCGGGAGGGGGCGGGGCGAGCGGGAGGGGGCGGGGCGAGCGGGGAGGGGGCGGGGCGAGCGGGAGGGGGCGGGGCGAGCGGGGAGGGGGTGGGGCGAGCGGGAGGGGGCGGGGCGAGCGGGGAGGGGGCGGGGCGAGCGGGAGGGGGCGGGGCGAGCGGGGAGGGGGCGGGGCGAGCGGGAGGGGGCGGGGCGAGCGGGGAGGGGGTGGGGCGAGCGGGAGGGGGCGGGGCGAGCGGGGAGGGGGCGGGGCGAGCGGGAGGGGGCGGGGCGAGCGGGGAGGGGGCGGGGCGAGCGGGGAGGGGGCGGGGCGAGCGGGAGGGGGCGGGGCGAGCGGGGAGGGGGCGGGGCTTGCGGTCCACGCCAACTCGGAGGGTTTACCTCCAGATGGCGAGGTGTGAGTGGAATGGGGTGCCAGCTGGGAGGGTTTACCTCCAGATGGCGAAGTGTGAGTGGAATGGGGTGCCAACTGGGAGGGTTTACCTCCAGATGGCGAGGTGTGAGTGGAATGGGGTGCCAGCTGGGAGGGTTTACCTCCAGATGGCGAGGTGTGAAGGGAATGGGGTGCCAGCTGGGAGGGTTTACCTCCAGATGGCGAGGTGTGAGTGGAATGGGGTGCCAGCTGGGAGGGTTTACCTCCAGATGGCGAGGTGTGAAGGGAACGAGGGTGCCAAGTCAGAGAGTTTACCTTCAGTTGATATCCGTCAGTGGAATGGGGTGCCAACTCGGAGGGTTGACCTCTAGATTGTAAGTTGCCATCTGGGAAGGTTTGCCTCCAGATAAATTAACGTTCACATTTGTACGTATCTTCGCCATAACAAGTCAGAGGCGGTCTTGCTTCACATCAGGGGTTCTCAACCTTTTCGGCCTGGAGGCCCCCCAATCAACACCCCTGGTCACCCCCCGCCCCCCTCCCCTCAATCTCAAAAAGCACAACTCAGGTGACTAAGGTCACAATACAGAGTTGTCATGTCCACGCCTCGAGTTAACGCGGTGCCACGTGTTGTGTATCGGTGTGCTTTGTCGCCGCAACGTGGCGCTGACGTTCCGCGCGCACATTCGACAATTTCTCCTGCACGGTGTCCGTGCCGCAGCCTGTGTGCTGTGCCCCCCCCCCCCAATCCCCTGTAATCCTTTCGAGCCCCCCACGAGTGTGCTCCTGCTCAGAGTCGCACAAAGCGGTCAGCAACGTTGGACACAAACCCTGTCTGCCTGGGGAATTGTTCATCTGTTGCACATGCGGTTGTAAGGTTGGCGTAATATATACATTAATATCCCACAGTAAACGACGCGATTAAACGTAACTTGGTTAGTTGAACACGTAGCAGGCTTTCGCGACCAATATTATCCATAATACAATTTTATTTTAGGTTAGATCGCTTAAATATAAATGTGTCGTTAAACCCGCCACCACCCAACACAGCCAATTAGTTACTAGTTCAGCACCCCGGTGTGATGGAAAGTAAACCCACAACATTGACAAACTCGAGTACCGTAACGTTTCGCCGGTAATTACAACCAGCCACATCGGGCGACAGCCAGAATTGTGACTTGGTTAGTGGTTACATCTCGAGAGGGGTCAAACGAGTGGCCATAATTCGCCTTGACAAAACTCCTTCATTTTGGATTTACCACGAGGGGGGGTGTGGAGGGGGGGCAGTGGTTTTTAATTGGATAATAATCATTATAAAAAATAACACGAGTTATGAATAAGTACTTAATAAGTATCATCGCTTGAAGTCACGCAAGTCTCTTTGGACTCATGTGCTTGACCTTAAACAATGCGAATTCAACCCCGAAGGAGTTTGGAAAGCCGAATGTAGTTCAAAAGAACTCACAAACACCTTGCTGCGAAAGAGAAACGCAGAAGATCCCTGGTTTTGATCTTCTACGAAGCTCATGGGCCACCCTAAACCGCGTCCACTGCACAAACCATGGCAGTAGATGCGTGATTCCTGATGATGCACAAATGGAAAATATGAAACTCTCCAGGAGCAGTGTGCGACTGTGGTCATCCAGAACAGAGGCCGCACATCGTGTAACGACGCAATGTCCCCCGATCTACAAATACGAAGGAGACATCACAGCGATTATAAACTCCGCTTACTCCTGACGCAGCTGTCTGCCTTGTTCGTTGTTGTAACATTCTGACCCGCTCCGCGAGTGGGCATCTGTGAAAAACAGAGCTTTATAGCTCATCTGATTACTCCGGTATATTTATAAATATGCTAATTCTGAGACTAAAATAAGTAATTTGATTCTGAATGTAAGATTACAGTTGTTGCTTCTGCACATACATCAAGCCGCCGTACGACAGAAGACGACTTCGGGGGGCAAAACCCCCAAAGACGCCACGAGGTGTCGCCATCCCCCCTCGTGCCCGCCACGAGGTGGCGCCATCCCCCCTCGTGCCACGAGGTGGCGCCATCCCCCCTCGTGCCACGAGGTGGCGCCGTCCCCCCTCGTGCCCGCCACGAGGTGGCGCCATCCCCCCTCGTGCCACGAGGTGGCGCCGTCCCCCCTCGTGCCCACCACGAGGTGGCGCCATCCCCCCTCGTGCCACGAGGTGGCGCCGTCCCCCTCGTGCCCGCCACGGGAGCAGCCGAGTCACGGTGACAGTGCCGGTTCCCAGACGGCGCGCACGGTCATCATCATCATCAGCAGCGACATGGACGATGACGAGAGTGGAGATGACGAGGGTGGAGATGACGAGGGTGGAGATGACGAGGGTGGAGATGACGAGGGTGGAGATGACGAGGATGGAGATGACGACGAGGGGCGTGTAGGAATCGGCAGCCTGTGGCTCTTTAAAGGACTTCTACTTGACGTTATTCACTTTCTTAGACCTCCTTTGCCAGTACCAAAATACAATAATAGGGGTTTTCCCCTTTTTTCTGGCAACAAAACTGAATTTTTTTTACAAGGATTCATGCCTGCATTAACCACAATACTTGCAGTCAAAATGCAAACAAAAACATACTATGATAATATATGCCGTCCCTTGGTGTGGACCAATCAGTTTCCAGGACAATGCATATATTATCATAGTATGTTTTTTGTTTGCATTTTGACTGCAAGTATCGTGGTTAATGCAGACATGAATCCTTGTAAGAAGGTTTCAGTTTTGTTGCCATAAAAAAGGGGAAAACCCATATTATTATGTATTCACTTTGCGTCGCGGCTCTTGAAATAGTGAGGAGGTTTTTTTAAATCCTTTATATTAAGTTCGCTTGCGTGCTTGCGTGCTTGCTTGCTTGCTTACGACCGTGCAAATCTTTCAGTCGTTTTTTAACCCACTTCCCGTGATCCAATCGAGCTGACATTTTCCACACAGACTCGTTGTGCGTGACAATACATTTTTCGTGAAAATTTTTTTCCAAAATTTTACACTGTTTAGAGAAAAATAAATAAATGTTTCTTTACCAATTGCTTAATGCTGGCAGACAATCATCTGACCCATAGGTGGCAGCCATCTCAAGCCAGAGGACGAGATGACTCTAGCCGCCACGCATATAAAGGATTTATAGTGAAAAACTTAGTTTTTACGGGTTAATTTTTTTACCGAATTAAAATCGACATCTAATGAGCAACGCTGTTGGATTGCCGTGTGTTGTGTTGGATGATTCTTTGTCACCATTAGTTGCTTGGAGGATGTTGTCCACGACTGAAAACCAATGCTTTCATAACTCGACAAATCTTCTTGGTTCTTTCGGTAAAGTCACGTAGAAGGGAAGTAATAAAATAATAAAAATTAAACATAATAAAATATTTTTTATTATTTTATTACTTCCCTTCTACGTGACTTTATCGAAAGAACCAAGAAGATGAATCCCTGCAGTCACGAAAGCTTTAAATCGAAATTTAACTCGACAAATATTTACATTTTAGCGTCTCAAAGTGAGTTTGTCCTCAATCGCTTGTCCCGCTTAACATTGCCATCGGTCATGAGTATTGATCATCGCAGGAGTGTCCAATGCTCTACATTGGCTGTGTTTGGGGGTTTCCATACCGTCGGAGCATCAACAACCTGCACCGTGGACACAAACTCAACAGCCTCGCCACGATCACAGCAAATCACAGCGATAACAACGGAGGCGATGTTTAAATATCCACCATCAATTGGTGGCGAGATGTGATCCCCTTCGCCTGCAGATTGTGAGTGGGGGAGCGGTGGCGCAGTGGTTAGCGCTACGAACCCGGCCCCCCCCACCAACAGCGGTGACGATCGCCTGAAGCGGCCCTGGGACTCCCCCAGGTCGACTCAGCCTCAAATGAGTACCTGGTGCGATGTTTATACATTGATACTGGGGAGACAAAGGCGGCCGGACGTGGTTGCTGGCCACCGACCCCCTCGTGCTGCTCGCTATGGGGCCGGCCATAAATGACGTCACGCGATTGTTGACCCCCCCCCCCTCGTCAGGTAGGGCACTGATAAGGGGATGGCAACTTAACGGAATTGCCGCAACAACATCGACCACAACACCAACAAGGCAGCAATACAAGTCGTAACAAACACGATGAGCTCACTGTCGTTACTTATATAGCAACAACAACAACAACAAAATCTTCTTGGTTCTTTCGGTAAAGTCACGTAGAAGGACATAATAAAATAATACAAATTAAACACAATAAAATACAAATTCTCACAGTGAAAATTGTATTTTATTGTTTTATTTTTTAATAATATTTTAAAGCATAAAAATATAACATAATAGAATACAATTTTCACTGTGAGAATTTGTATTTTATTATGTTTTATTATTATTATTTTATTATTTCCCTTCTACGTGATTTCACCGAAAGAACCAAGAAGATGAATCCCTGCAGTCACGAAAGCTTTAAATCGAAATAACAATAAAAGTTTAAATTGCAACGTCACGAAAACGCCACTCAGACCCGCGGACAGCGCTGCCCCCCGCCCCACCCCGCGCCGCGCCCCCACAATGCACCGCGCGGCCCTCTCCGCGGCCATTTTTTAGTGGGGGGAGATTTTTGTTTTCCGCTCTCCACGGACGCCGCGGGGCTCCCGCGGCGGCGGCGGCGCCATGAGCGGAGAGACGCCGTACATCGGCAGCAAGATCAGCCTCATCTCCAAGGCGGAGATACGCTACGAGGGCATCCTCTACACCATCGACACCGAGAACTCCACCGTCGCGCTCGCCAAAGGTGCAACGGCGGCCGCGGTCTGCTCGGGGTCGAGAGGCCGAGCAAACCCCACCCCCCACCACCACTACCCCCCCACCACCACTACCCCCCCACCACCACTACCCCCCCCACCACCACTACCACCCCACCACCACCCCCCCCCACCACCACCCCCCCCCCCACCACCACCATCCCCCACCACCACCATCCCCCCACCACCATCCACCACTAGCCCCCCACCACCACTACTACCCCCCACCACCATCCACCCCCCCCCACCATCCACCCCCCCCCCCCAATCCACCACTACCCCCCCACCACCCCCCCACCACCATCCACCACTATCCCACCACTACCCCCAACCACCATCCACCACTACCCCCCACCACCACTACCCCCCACCACCACTACCCCCCACCACCATCCACCACAAACCCCCCACCACCCCCCCACCACCATCCACCACTACCCCCCCACCACCATCCACCACTACCCCCCCACCACCATCCACCACTACCCCCCCACCACCCCCCCGGGAGTGGAGTGGGGGGGTCTATTCATCGCCACCTCTCTTGTGATCTTGCCCGTCGCTCCGTCCTCCTCCTGCTGCTGCTGCTGTCTTCACCCTTCCACGGCGTAGGGGGGTGGGGGTCGTCGCCTCGCGCCTCCCCCCTCACGGAGTTGAAGTCCCGGCCGTGGCGTGGGGGGGGCCGCGGTGTGGGGGGCCCCGCGGAGGGTGACGTCACGGCTACTGCTGCTGCTGCGGCAGTCAGTGGTGTGCAGCGCGAGGGCTGTCCGCTGGCTCCGCGCGTCGCTGTCGCCCCGCGTGTTCGTCTCGGTCCGGCTCGTGTCGAGAGAGACGGGAACGGGGCAGTCAGTGGCGTGTTGGGTGGTGCGTGTGTCGGGTGGTGTGTGTTGGGTGGTGTGTGTCAGGTGGTGTGTGTCGGGTGGTGTGTGTCGGGTGGTGTGTGTGTGTTGGGTGGTGTGTGTGTGTTGGGTGGTGTGTGTTGGGTGTGTTAGGTGGTGTAGTGTGTGTTGGGTGGTGTGTGTTGGGTGGTGTGTGTTTGGCCTGGGCTCTGGGTTGTTCTTCGTGCTTTCGGAGTCCCTGACCCTCTGCTCACGATCATTAAGGACCTTCATGATGGTGAGCGGGCCCGGGTAAAACTACGTGGCCGGGAGTCGGAGCCTTTCCCTGTACACCTTGGGGTGCGACAGGGATGTCCTCTGGCTCCCACATTATTTAACATCTATTTCGACTGCGTAGTTCGTGAAGCCTTCAATAGCTGTACCGGGGGAATTTCCATTTGGTACAGATATAATGGGAGGCTGATCGACGCCCTGGTGCGATCAAGGGATGGCTCCCTATTGGTCAACCACGTTATGTATGCCGATGATTTGGTAATAGCTGCTCATTCAGAAGAGGAGTTGGAGATGCTGCTGCTGAGACTGGAGCGTGCAACTAAGAGATGGGGCCTTACCATCAGCCCCACCAAAACTAAGCACCTGCCTGGGTATTTTGTACCATCGGACACTCCACCCCCACAACTCCCAATCGGTGATGGGGAAGTTGTGGAGAGAGTGGAGAATTTCCCATACCTGGGCAGTGTGCTTATGACCGGCTCCAGTTTAACAGCAGAGGTCTCACTCCGAATCAGTCGAGCGGCAATATCTTTTCATCGGTTGCGTAACGCTGTGTGGAAGCTACCTGGTCTGTCGCTCCGCACGAAGCTTCAGGTCTTCTCGGCCACGGTCATTCCCTCCCTTCTATACGCTTGCGAAACGTGGACCCCCCTAATGGAGCATCTTCGCCAGTTGGAAACATTTAGGCTGGCCTGCCTACGATCCATCCTGGGTTTAACCAGGCTGGATTGTGTGAGGAGCTCACAAATCCTTGAAAGATCTGAGCAAAGTCCCATCGGTGAGCTCCTCCGGCAGGCAAGGCTGCGTTGGCTGGGTCATGTAGCCCGCATGCCCAGCCACCGCATGCCTAAACAGCTTTTGTTCGGCCAGATCGAGGGGGCTAAACGGGCGCGGCACGGGCTAGAGAAGAGATGGAGTGATGTGGTACAGGAGGACGTGGAGCTGAGTGGACTTGCCGATGACTGGTACCAGCGGTGTCAAGATCGGCCTCAGTGGAGGAGGCTCGTGAAGGACGCTACTGAGCAGTTGGAGGCAGTCGCCCTACAACAACAACGGAGGCCGGAGGAGCGACGCTCACTACAACGAGCGGAGCGCCGGGTGGCTAAAGCACAGCAAGTTGGTACAGTAGGGGGCAAAGGTGGTGCATCAGCCAGTCATCTCGGTCATCTCGGTCAGTCGACCCGTGGCACCTGCTGGGTCTGCCCCGTGACCTCCTGCCAGCGGGCGTTCGACACTTCACGTGGCCTCAAGGTGCACTTGGCCTGGCACAAGCGTCGTGGTGACGTCACCGCCACTTAGTGGCGAATGGCGGTTGTTGTTGTTGTGTGTTGGGTGGTGTGTGTGTTTGTGTGTTGGGTGGTGTGTGTGTGTTGGGTGGTGCGCGCTTCGCCAACGCATCCTGGCAGGTAAAGCGAAGTTGAAGTGGTTGGTGATGGAGATGATGATGGTGGTTGGTGATGATGGTGGTGATAGAGATGATGATGGTCGTTGGTGGTGATGGTGGTTGGTGGTGATGATTTTGGTGATGATGATGGTGGTGTTTGGTGGTGGTGGTGGTGATGATGATGGTGGTGATGAAAATAATGATGGTGGTTGGTGGTGGTGATAATGATTATGGTGGTTGGTGGGGATAATGATGGTGGTGGTTGGTGGGGATAATGATGGTGGTGACGGTGGTGGGTTCCGTGCAGTGGCGACAGTGATAGTGACGGGCCGTGACTCTTCGCTCCGTAGTTGTACTAACACAGTGATACAGCTCGCATGTCCCACGCGCGCAGATTTTGTTCACTCACGGAGAGAATGATACGGTGGGGGGGCACCAGACGAAGCGGGAAAACAGCCAGGACCGACCGTCACGAGCACTTGCCCAAGTTCTGTGGTCCTACATTGGGATGTTCATGTCAATTCCGCACTGTGGAGCCGTCAACGGCGCTCTCTTGTTTTGACGTCGAGGCTGTCTTTGGACGTCCGTGAAAAATAGCTTCCAGAGCTCCACGCATTCCTCCAGTCTAAATAAAGATCGCGATTCTTTTAATTTCGCGACCCCTGCACCGAAATTCTTAAGGGCGCGGCCTCCCCACCCCATGCCCCAGTGACTCCGCCTCCCCCTGACCGAGTGGTCTGACCTACACCTGAGCTATTCACCAGATCCTCCCCTGATCCACTCACCAGACCTCCACCGTGAACTTAGTCTTTTTTTTCCCCGGTTCCTAATTCAAATTTTCAAAGCTCACCTCACGGGCTACGACTGTGCAGTCCCTCGCCGTTCCGTGGATAAACTCGCCACTGTAATAACAATGTGGATTGTCCATCACGGGCTCGCTGGGATAACCGCGTGTTGACTTTGTGCAGTAACCCTGTTGATCTTTATCTTCACCGAGCCACCATTGCTCGGCGGTTTCATACAATCTCGCGTGGTCTGTACTCGGTGCAATATCCAGCCCTTTTGTTAATCCACTACTCTATGAAATCCTGCACGTGCTGCGTTGGTCGTGGGGTTTGTTTGACTTCGATGATCAACGCAGGGTTGGGGCAGGACCAGCTCATATAGGGGCACCATGGTGACTAGGAGATGTTGACTACCTCGCCTGGTATACAGGAGGTCGTGGGTTCTAGCCCGACCCTGATGCCTGTATATTTGGAGTTTGCATGTCTCTCTCTCTCCCCCCGTGGTCACTTGGATTTTTCTCCGGATTCTCAGATTTTTCCCACCACATTTAGAAACTTGTGTTTTAGAGTATTTGGCTGCTAATACATTTCCACGTGATAAGCCACTTCGTTGAGCTATCATTTGTGGCCAGGTCTCTTCTGAAAAAGATACATTGCTCAGTGGGCCTCACCTGGTAAAGTAAAAAAAAAGTAACTCGACACTGATGTTATCCGCGGTCGGGAATCAAACTCACGTCGCCACTGTCTTCGTAGGTCAACGTGCAAATCACTGCAGTACAATTAACGGTGCATATTAAAGCTGAGAAGATGCATGCTTGGATTACACTGACAGAGAGGAACATTGATTTGAGAACGCAATTTAGAAACACCACATTGTTAAAACCAAGTGGACTTGGGCAGGACATGTCTAGAATGGATGATGGCCAGAGGTCGAAACTCACAAGGGAGTGGCACCTAAAGATGGACAACTGCCACCAAGATGGTCAATCCAGCAATGGGTTGATCATAGATGGGGATGTTAAATGTATTAAAATACATTACGGTTCCATGTGTTCTAATCCGTCTGTGCGGACATGTTTTATACCTTCACCACCATGATGGTGTTTCGACATAACTCACTAAAACAGGAATTGGCCAAGCATCCCATTATAGCAGGACCTTCCTGAAACTTGAGACGGTGTGAGGCTTTCCTGGATAAATGAAGGTCATGATAGCCTCATCATACCTGCATAACAATTAATGCAGATGTGCAGAATCAATACAGTGTGCAGCTTAAGGGGCTCCTGCCTTCATAAAAAAAACTTGGTTGAGGTAGCTTGAGGTTTTTTTTATTGAAGTCCCCTTATGGGAGCAGTTGGGTTCTTAGTGCCTCGTACACTGCATACCAAAACACCTTAGGATTGGTTGAAGTTTTAAATCTGGACACGGAATACATTTTAGTCTTGTGACAAGGTCGCTTCTGAAGTTGCCAGGTCGCTTCTGAAAAATAACTAAGAGCTCTGTCGGCTTTACCTGCTAAAATAAAACATAGTTTGTTTTAAAAGTTAAATTTTTAGTTATTTGCTTACCTTTTCTATACTTTGCACTACTATCAGTGTTTTGTATTGTTTGTTGTAAACTTCTGACCCGGCCCTACTGGACATCTGTTAAAAAGGTGGAGGTTTACAACACATTTATACTTATGCGATCTAACCCAAAAACCTCTTAGTATGAACAGATATGGCTGATGTCAGGTGACTGAACTATTGGGTGCTGTGTGTTCTGTGCGGCGCACACGCAGTCCGCTCGTTTGGCACGGAGGACCGGCCCACGGAGCGCCCAGTCGCGCCCCGCGATGAGATCTTTGAGTACATCGTGTTCCGCGGCAGCGACATCAAGGACATCACGGTGCGCGAGCCGCCCAAGCCCCAGCGCACGCTGCCCCAGGACCCCGCCATCGTGCAGGTGGGACAGGGGAGATTCACCCACGCCAGTCCAACACCGGTCGCTGACGGCCGATCTGTGATCGTGTCACCGTTCGTTGTCAAACGATCTGTAACTCTCCGTCGCTTCGTTGTCACTCGCAGTCTTCCCTAGGCTCGGTCGCCCCAAGGTTCCAGTCGTCCAGCTCCTATGGGCCTTTTAGCGGCATGGCCCCATACGGCCAGCTGGGGCCCGGATCCTTCATGGGCCCCCCCTACGGCTCGCTCGGCTTGGGTAAATATCAGCTGCAAGTCGTTTTGGTGGCGGCACGGCATGCGTGAATGTGTAAATGTAATACGCTTAATAGGCACTTGCAGATTTGACCCACGAGAGATTTGATGAAATTATCACTATGGTTGCAAATAGCTTCAAGGAACCAATTATTTTGTGTGTGCGCGCCTGCCGTGTGCACCTGTGTGTGTGTGTGTGTGTGCACCTGTGTGTGTGTGTGTTCGGCTGGGCCTGCAGGAAGCGGTCTCTCTCCCCTCGCGCAAAACTCGACTCTGTCGGGGATGCAGCCACCGCGAGGCGGGGCCTTCGGGGAGACGAGCTTCACGCCAGACTTCCTGTCCCCGACGAGCCTCTTGCCCTCGCAGGGTAAGCCCACTGCTACCGCCACATTTACCCCCTCAGCCCCCCCGACTCGCATTTTGCCCTACCCGGGTTCCCCCACCACCCGCCTCTACCACCGCCCCACTAGCCTGACACGGACGTTCCTGTGCAGGACATCGCGGTCAATTAGTGGCTTTCACAAGAGAGCGCTCATTGACTTTGGAAGCACCGTAATGCACCGAGCCCTTTCGGAAATTCAATAACAAATGAACTTGACGCACTCAAGCGCATGGTGATAAATAGAAGCGATAAATTGCAGGAAACTGTGCTGCACTCCTGGGTGAAGGTCGTGCACAACTGCGTACGTCCTGCTGCTGCTGCCTGTGTTGCGGTCACCCAAACACCAACCTCCCTGCTTTCGAGCCAAAACTCATCGCCGTCGCTTCCAAAATGAGTCCAAACGCATTGCTTCATAACATGACTGAGCGACCGTCTATACGGCCGCTGCAATATTGCCCAGCTGCCATTTCGAGTTCACTTAAACATGCAGGCTAATATTTTTTTTTATGTCTCTCAGGTCATTATATCCATTAGGCGAAGGTAGCCTGTTTGACACCTTCACAATCAATTCTGGAGTTCAGAAGGACTCTTGCTGAATTATGCAGCAATCTTCCCCAAGCCAGATCCAACTCGTTTATAATCCTGTGCTGGATGAAATCCCTAAGTAAGTAAATAGAAGCGCAGGTAAGTGGCTCACAGGATGATGACTCGTGTCGTTTGGCCTCGCAGACGTCCCGCGAGCGGTGTCGCCCCCTGGAGGCCTCGGTGGCAAGCCTACGCCGGAGCGCGCGGCGAGCGAGAAACCGCTGACTTCTACCGCCGTGGGCGACCGGCGACCGAGCCAACAAGCCAAGGCTCCCGGCGTGCCACCTGCGCATAGGCCCGGCACCGCTAATGATGCCAGGAAGGGCGGCGGAGTGCCAGGACCCGTCGACAGTACGTGTGGCCCATGCCGTTGCTGCCGCCACCAGTTTTTGAGAAGTTCGGCGGATGCAGGAAGCTGTTCCCTCAGAGCTGACGGCATCTGTGTGTTCATTGCCACGCAGGGCACATGGATGGGCACAAGCCAGAGCGGACGGATGACCGGGGCCAGACATTCCGGAGGCGAGGTGGTGGTTACCGGCCACCAGTGGGCCCTACATCACCAATTGGCGGTGTCGGCGGTGTCGGCGGTGTCGGCGGTGTCGGCGGTGTCGGCGGTGTTGGCGGTGTTGGCGGTGTCGGCGGTGGCGGCGGCGGCGGTAGAGGTGGCGAAGGTGGCAGAGGTGGCGGAGGTGAGCTCCGCTCTGCTGAATTTGTTTCCATGCGATGACTCAAGAAAAAGAAAAGGTCTGAACAAGATTGAAATAGGGGGTCGATAGCACGGACCACTACGGGAAGAGCGTTTTGGACTATAGGGGCCGTAGAGGAGAGCACCTGGCAAGCTCTGATGGGCAACCACCCAAGTATTTACGAGGCTTATTTGCTTCCAAGATCCAGTGAGATTGGACGCATACCTGACAATGTGGTCATGTTGTAGTGATTTGATTGCGCCCGTGTAACCTTGCAAGTGACCAGCCACCACTCCCCCGACAGCCCCTCCCCTAGCATCACCACCACCCCCTACCCCGACCACCTCTCCCCTTTTCCAGACTGCACCTACAGCAGCCTGGGCAGAGTAGTACGCACTCCGAGCCGTTGTGTGTTTTGTGTATTTTGGCGGTTATCCGGGTCGTGCAGGGCCCCCCCGGCGCGGCCGGGATGGTTTCCGAGGCCGCGGCCGCATTGGGGGTGGCCGCAAGGAGCAGCCGATGAAGTTTGAAGGGGACTTCGACTTTGAGAGCGCCAACGCACAGTTCAACAAGGAGGAGCTAGAGAAGGAGTTCCAGGACAAGCTCAAGCTCAAAGGTAGGGGCCGTGTCACAGCACCATCTGCAGTAGGGCTGGTGAGCCTAAGACTCTCCGGCCAGAAGCAAGCAACTCCTTCGTATGGCCTGTTATTTAGTTGTTTTACCTTTGATGTACAGCCCTTTGAGATTACCGATTTGAAAGGTACTGTATACAACTGACTTTATCGGTTCACACGGCACACGACTTATATTTCATACAACCCCAAGTCGTGATTTCATGTGGACCAAGACTTAATTTCATACAGCCTGTAATCACATGAACCCTACCGCTTTGAAACGGCAAGTGATATTTATCCATTACTCGATGCATTATTTTGGTGCTGGAGAGGAATATTTTCAATCTGGCAAGACTGTCTTCTCATTTGAATGTACTCAAGCATGTAGGTACAACCTGAAGGCGTGTGTTCGCGTGTGGCCTGCTAAAGATTTGTAAAAGTCCAAACCATCCACAAATTAGTTAACTGTAAAATTAAAACGTTTTAGAAAAACCTTGTTTTCTTCTCTTAACATCGTGAATATTCTTGAAAGAGAATATCCTGAAGCAGAAGATTTGTGCTGGATACAACTGAATTTGCAAATGTAATTTGTAACTTTCATCCTTACCCAAGTAGTTATTGTTAAATTTGAGTGTGAAATTGTATTAAGGGACTTTGTTGTCTTGGTGTGTGGTCTGGGACTGTTCTTCCTGCTGTTTCGCTGCCTTGCCAAAATTTGGGAATTGATGTACAGTACTATATTGAATTTTTGTAGTGATTTGCTTACCTTTCCTATACTCTGCACTCCTATCGTGTTTTGTACTGTTTCTTGTAACTTTCTGACCCACCCCCTACTGGACATGTGAAAAAGAGTGTCATAGTTCATAGGATTTCTCTAGGATAAATAAAAATTCTGATTCAGATTCTGAAAATGTACTGATCGATGTATGTACAAAGTAACGTTGAGGGCAGGCGAATGTTTAACCAGTTGACGCTGCGCGGTTTCTGCGTAGACGACCGCGGGGGGGAGAAGGTGGTGAACGGCGAGGACAAGGAGGGCGGCGCAGAGACGCAGTCGCACGAGGACGACAGCGCCTACTACGACAAGACCAAGTCGTTCTTCGACAACATCTCACGCGAGAGCGACCCAAGGTGAGGCCCCCCCCCATCCAACCCGTACCACCGCTTCAGTGATGACGGCTCCCGCGTGGTGCTGCCGCGTAGCGTCGGTGTGCCCCGATCGGTGTGTAGCTCCGTGTGGTATCACGTTTGCGGTGCTGTTCTGTCCGCACCTCACCGCGTTGCCTGGTGCGCTATCCGACGCCTCACGTTTAACCGCACCTGTCTGGCGCCGACCACCCAGGGAGCGGCGCTCGACGTGGGCGGACGAGCGGCGCATGAACGTCGAGACGTTCGGGGTCTCCTGCAGCCGGGGTCGGGGCGGCTACTACCGCGGGCGCGGTTTCCACCGCGGAGGCTTCGGCTACGGTGGCGGTTACTACCGCGGCGCGCGGGGGTCCTTCCGAGGGGCGACTGGGAACCCCCGGGGAGGCGTGGTGCGGGAGTTCGGGTACCGAGGAGGCCGCGGAGGAGGGCGGCTGTGGTCCGAGATTGATCAGAAGGTGAGCCGAAGCGTCACGCTCCCGAGCTAGCCTCGTCCATAACAACCCGTGGAATTTTTACGTGCAGATTTAATTCGACCAGTAGATGCCAACTACAGTGTGCAGTGTGAATTCTGTGAGAATCCAGCACTCATCAATTCACTCCAGTCACCCAGCGGTTAAGCCTCATCTGTCGCTACTACCATGGTTACTGTTCCTGTGACATTCCGATTTTTCCTCCCAAGTTGGGTGCGAGATCTACCAAACTGCAAATGTCATCCAGTGTTCACCACGTTGCAGGCCACTACACTTCTCTTTCTGCTTCGTCATTCGCACGGCTTTACTCCGAAACCCTTTCCCCATCGTCTCTTTTCCCATGTTCGTGTAACCATTCTCATTTCAAGAAACATTAACCTCTTCATCTGTTGCCATTTTAATTGTGCTGTTTGTTGCTGGCCACTTGGCATTTTTTGGTCTGTGCTTAGCAACTGTGATATTTAAAAGTAGTTTTATTTTAACAAATAAATACATTCCGCAAGTTGTCAGACTAAAATAAAAAATGCTGGCCAAATCAACACCAGACAGTGTTCATTTAGTGACCAATTTCGATCTTAATAAGTAAATGATAATCACAAAGTCTTGACTAATATTCCAGACTCATGTGCTGAGTAAATGAACGCCGGTCATGACGAACTGCTTGATGTTTTGCGACGGCTGAAGTACAACGGTAACCGGCGTGTCCGCTGTGGCGTCTGTTCTTACAGAGGGATAACAAAGTGACGTCTTAGAAGAGGAGGAAACGTCGACTTCAGGATGGCACCAAGGGGGGTGGTGGTGGTGGGGAGGGAGTCGGGTGTGAAGCACTGCAGGGGTAGAGCGTTACATCGGACGGACAGGCGAACGGACTCGCCATCGCTGTGCCAGACGCAGGAGGTGGGGGTCACGTGTGTCGGATACTGTATTTTTAAATGTCCTTTTTAAAAAACTAAAAAAGTGAATAAATATTTTGAATGGAATGCTTTATCGCGATCAAATTAAAATATTTACGAGCATCAGTTGCTGAAGAGCTACACGGAGATTGTATGACTGACGAGATGACTGTTTTTAACGTTTCTATTTGCCAGACACCCAGAATCCATCGTTAAATTATTGAGCTGGCCGAGTAGAATAGACGACACCATCGTTCAGGCTATGAAGAGTTGGGGGAGGCAGAAGCACAACAGTCGTGCGGCCAAACACTCTGGTCTTCATCCTCAAGTGGAGTGAAGAGAATCTAAAACACGTTAAACTCGTCGGCGTGGTGAATAACGCCGGTGCAGGGCACGCGTGGGTGGGCAGCTGGAGGGTCCAAGCGGTGGGGTCTCTTGAGTCGGGATCCAGTAACAAATCGGCAGGACCCGTCGTCCCCGTGTTAATAAAATACACTTAACAAGCTGTTCAATCCAAATTCACCGAATTACCTTTTTCTCTGAATTGTATTGGGCAACCTAATGGCCGTCTATATGGGAGTGCTAAATATGACCACGGAGTTCACACGAGAATGAATATGGGTTCAAATCGACAGCAAGCCCAAAGACTACAGATGTGACTGTGAGACCTTGACAGGACCGACTGGGTATGATGTGAGTTTCTGTAATTAAACCTCAATTATGAACCCTTTCACAACTGGTGCCGTAGATTCGCAGGACTGTCCTGATATTTCACGTGAGCAAATGTGGATTTTGTTTGCGGGACACACACTGTCTGCTGAAATGTCCATCTCCAAAAGATTTAACGTCGCACATTAAGCAATTTTACCGAAACTCAAACGGACCCCAGTTTACCAAGCAGAAAAAGGGGCTGGCTTGCAGGGGGTGGCATAAAGTTGAAAAACAGCTGTGCGAGGGTTAAGCCAACGCACGATCGTAGTGCTTTGTAATCAGGGGTCACAGAATGTAGTTGCGTGAAGCCACTTGTCAGGCACCGCATGGCCTGCTGCCGCGATGCACCGTCACCTCAAGGGGAACTCGCAGTTCTGCCCTCCCCCGGGGCTCTGGTAGGATCTGGGCGAGGGGGAACCTGAAGCGATGGAATGTTTCGCCGTTGGGAAATCGCCATATGTAGCGAGCCTCTGGGCGAGGGATTTCACGAGTGTCGTCGCATGCGACACGGAGAAATGGCCACAACCCTGGGGTCTTCTGGTCAACAGGGGAGCCCCACCCCCCTTTCAGTTAATGCACTGCCTGGGCCACTTTCAGGCTGTCGAGCATAATCACTAAAGTCGTTTTGTCTCATCTGGATTTGTCACCCAAACCGCACAGACGTAGACAGAAAATGGGGGGGCCTCGTAAATTCACTTAATGCAAAGTGACAATTTCATGAAGCGAGATTATAGTCGTGTAGCATTCAGGACCTTTCATTTCCCAAACACTGAAATCGATACGAGTGCACCACAGAACGTCACCAGTAATGAACGTTGATGTCGTGACCCTGTTTTTTTTTTAAGTCAAACAGCCACCACCACATTCTGCGGGGCAGCAGAAGCACCTGGTGCTCTGCCGGCGGTAGCCATGACGCAACCAAAAACCATCGTCCCTCTCTTGAGTTGCTGCTTTAGTGTGGTTAACACACCCCGTGGGTAACAAACAGTCTTTAATGCAAATCACCGCTTCACGGTGGAGATTCTGGCACTAATGAGTGCACAAGAAGCCCAAACCCAGCCCCCCCTCCCGTTAAGAGCATTAGTGCGAGCGCTGTTTTAATAAACACAATCAACTTGTATAAATAAAAGTCGTGTGCTTCCTCGCTTGTCTTTCTGGCCCTCACGATCAATCCAAGTCGCCGTCGAGCAGCAAAATAAACTTGCAAATCCTCACTCGTCAGCAGTAACCGACGTCGCCGCGACCGTCCACAGTGTTTTAGCCGGGCGGCGACGGTCTAGAACTGTCTTTTTTTTTTAAATAATAAAATAATGGAACCTGAAGATGCGTGCGTGCAGTCGTGGCGTCGCGGGGAAAACGAGTGTTAAATTGGGCTTGCACTGTACACGACGGGCAGTGTTCACTTGTGGACTAAATGTGAATAAAGACGAGGACTGTCGGCTTCTACCCCGTGACTCTCTTCTCGTGGCGATCGACAGCTTCCGACAGTGGTGACATGTTACCTTCCTCCCCTGGTATACACGAGGTCGTGGGTTCGCTCCCGAGCCTGACGCCTGCTGTATATTTGGAGTTGGCGTGTCTCTCTCCCCGTGGTCGCGGGGATTTTTCTCCGGGTCCTCCCGTTTTCCACTCCACATTTAGTTGGTTGATATAAATGTCCACACGATAAGCCACTCTGTTGAGCTATCAATTGTGATAGCCAGGTTGCTTCTGAAGAGCTACATAGCTGAGTGAGCCTTACCTGGTAAAATAAAAACACTTTTTTTTACCTGGCCACCAATGGAGGTGGAGGTTGCACCACCCCCCCTTTTGTCGTTCAAGCGCAATAGTAACGCCCCACGCTCCGAGGTGACACCATTTATAGCAGGAGGGCAATGTAAACGCATCCTTCGACGCAGCAGCTCAACATAGGAGGCATTTCACATGCATGTTTTAGGCTGTATTTTCAGTACTGGAATACAAAGAACAACGAAGAATAGTCTCACTGCAGGCAGTTACAAGCTGCCGTCTCGCACAGTAGAAACCAGTGTACACATACATACCTTTACAGGAGCACCATTAGCCATAGAATAGCAGCTCGCACTTTGGAAGGTCAACGCTCTACCCTCTGCATATGCCGTTGCAAGATTCATCTCTTGTTATATCGTTGAGCTAATATTCGTTAGTAGTTTTTAACTACGCTCTTTTTAGACAAAAAAAAAACAGTGTTACGTGGGGGTGGGCAGTAAAAAACAAAGAGAAACAACGTGGACGACGCAGCAAGCCATGTAAAATACCTCCTGTTCCAGCCATGGAAGGTTCTCTCAGAACGGGACGCTTTGCACACGGGTCAGCTCAATGGAATGCCTCCGCACAACAATAACGACAACACAACGCGTAACAACACTTGCGGGCCACCGGCATCACACGTGCGGGCTTTGCGTCGCGCAAACTCACGTTGAACGTTGAGAACATTCGCTCCTGAACGCATTGGCGGGACTACACCACTGTCGATGGCAGGCGCTCTTCGCAGGGTTTCAATCCGACCTGGCCGGGCTTTCTTTATTTTTACTCTAACCCGGGCCAAGGCCTTCCCCCCCCCCCCCCCCCCCAATGCCCACACCTTGGTCTCAGATTGTTGGTCATAAAATAGTTTTGAGTTTTATTTTCAACGCCCACAACAACCGCGCGCGAGTTTTGTGCACGGGCAGCGGCAAGGCACCGCATTGAGAAATACCTTTGGCTAGCTCGAGCGGCGATGGCGCTTTCCTCGGGCTTGAACGCCAGCCCGTGGCCAATGCCGGGACGTGGTTCCCCCCCCCAACAAAACTAAATATTGCCCCGCAGACGTACGTAACGCTTTAGTGTCAAAACGAAGCTACCACCCCCAACCCTACTAGCGCCGTGCAGGCACCCACCGCCACTACCCGGTGCCCCGCCACCGTGCCGGAAGCCAGTTCCCCACGGGACGGGGCGGGGGGGAGTGGCGCCTTAAATCGGCACTCGGCTACGGCGATCCCCCCCCCTCGCTGGCGTTGAGTTGAGCTCAGCTGCGGCTCGCAGCCCACGGTGCAGGCGGTGAACAAGTGCGCGTGTGCGCACGTGTGTGAGAGTTTGAGAGTACAAGTGCGAATGTGTGTGTGTGGCAGAGGATGTGATGGTGTACGGTAGTGTGCTACTGTGTAAGAGTGTGTGTTAAGATATTGTGTGAAAGCGTGACGGTGTAATATGATAAAATGGTGTGGTAGTACGAAAGTACGTGTGTTTCGTTACAGTGTGGTAGTGCGCTTGTGTGTGTGTAATAAACAGAGTGCGCGCCCTTGCGACAGAGTTCCTGCCGTAATCAAGCTCTCAAGCCGGTGCAGCGACCGCTCAGTACGGCCTCGTGTACACCCTGCGCTCTCCGCCAGGGCCCTGCCCGTAGCCCGGCGCTCCCAGGCGCTGCGTGGCGGCGCCGGCGCCCGGCTGGTGCGGTATGTACGGCGTGAATTCCGCTGACGCCACGGCTGCCGTGCCGTCGCACGCCTCCGTTGACCACACGGACGGCGGGAAGACCGCTGGCGCTGCAGAGTCTTCGTACCACGGCACCGGAGGACCGGCGTCCGGGTACGGAGCCGTGCTGGTGGGCACCAGCGTGGAGGCGGCCATCCACGGCGATTTGAGAGGCCACGTTTTTGTCTTTTCCTAGTAAAAGGCAAACGCAGTGAGGCGGAGAAACGCCGTCAATAACGTGATTCATTATCCATGTCATGACTATCCTTGTTTTGTCAAGAAAGCCTCTATGGGTCTCAAGACTCTTACAGGAGGGGGTTGGTATTGCCATGTGTAATCCCAATGGAATAATTTCCAGGTAGTTTCGTTTACATTGTATGTTTTTTTGCTATGGGAGGGAACCGGGAGGAAACCCACGCACAACAGAGGGAGAACATACAGACTCCACAGAGAAAGGTGCTCAAGTCGGGAATGAAACCCAGGCTTTTCTTACTCCGATGCAGAAGTGTTACCACTGTGCCACCCTGCTAACCGACGGCAAAGAGTTGCGAACGCCGAGTGTTTTCACTACCAAATATGAATTGCGTACGACACTTAAAAATATAATGCGTCGCAATGCGGCGTGCCAATTTTACCGCCCAGCAGCTTGGGAGTTCGCATCGCGTGTCAGAGAAATAAATAAAATTAACGTGCTGAAGAGCAGCAGCGGGTCACGTGACCCTCGCAAGCCCCAGTGAAGAGGCGTTCTGTAATATTTTTTAAGCTGAACAACGCGTTCACAGTTCCTGGCGAAGCTCCCAGCTTGTGGAAGATAAAGCATCAGAGGACAAAGTGTCGAACAACACGCAGGGTCTGGAGCACATCCCAGAACACAAATCTGAGAGATGTTTTAAAGAACAAAATACGTTGGCGGTTACCTGCGAGACGGTGTCTGGTGGAGCGCGGGGCATGGACAGCACGGCCGCGACTTGCTGCTCGCCGCTGCTGTGCCGCCTGCGATCGCGTGCACACACACGGCATTCATCACCACGCTGGCTACCGCACAACAGCTGGGGCAAGTGAGCACTGCAAGTGAGCCTCTGTGTGCGGTTTAACGGTGTAGGTCGGCGAGATGTTGGGTGTTGATGTTGAACTTCTTTCGCGCCGTACATCGCCAACCGTGCTAATCGGAGGTGCCAGCCGACGACGATCGCAATAAACTCCCAGATCGTTGCCTGCGCTCGACGAGACAAGACCTCTCTGCATTGGGAGATGACGTAAAATTGCATTGCAATCTCACTGACTGCACATAAACATTTCGCTTTGGCTAAATGAAAAAGGAATGCACCCAAACTCTTCAGATCTCGGATGCGAAGCAGCGGTTGAGTCTGGATAGTGCTGTGACAGGCCGACCAGCAGGCCTGCAGGGCCACGGTGCCATCAATAGAAGGTCAACGCAGGAAAATCCATTGTTGCGCAGGCAGTCCACCCAGAGATACGAACGTCCGACTTACGTAAATGCACAAATAACGACTTGCGAACGTTCGGTCGAACTTACGAACCAAACCGCGGAACTATTTTGTTCGGAGGAGCGATCCTCCACGAGATGTATTGAGTCCCGGTATACCGCGTGATGCAAAGACAAAGACACCCCCCCCCCACCCCTCTATAGCCTTAACAGACTGTTGGGGCAAGTGCTGTTAGCGAGCACCTATAGAGAAGGCCGGCAAGCACACGAAGGGGATGGGTGGTCAGCACCACGCCCGTCCACCACCCGCGTTGACGCAAACCCTTTCCCAAAAGGAAGCCAGCATCAGGAATAAAGGTAAGTGAAAATTAAACTGATGTTTTTCCTTATGTTACTTTATATTATGTTTCATTTACTATACTGTATTTATGACAGTATTACATACAAATGTACAAATATGTTAATTTGAAGCTTTCGTGACTGCAGGAATTACTCTTTGGTTCTTTCGGTAGCTTGCGTACCGTACCACACGTCGCCCTACTCATTGACATGCTAATTTTTCCTCTGCCCCCTCCCTCTCTCCGACCCCGCCCCCCCCCCTCTCTCTATTTAACGCTCCGTCACAGAGACGATCTCTCTCTCTGTGCCGATGCGTGTTCTCTCTCTGTGTATCTTTGTGATATCTGTCTGCTTATATGTCTGTCTATAGTTTTCTGGTTAGATGTTTGTTGCTATTTCTTTCTTTTATACCTGATGATGATTGCTTGTGTTGCAATCGAAACGTCGTAGTATGCTATTGTTTCATTTATTATTTTATCTTTATACGTAACTTTACCGAAAGAACCAAAGAGTAATTCCTGCAGTCACGAAAGCTTCAAATTAAGATTGAACCACTTCTACGGGGAAGTTTTAAGTTTATTTTTTCTCTCTCCCTCTAGATTTTTTGTTTTGTCTCTCTGCCTGTGTCCTCTCTTTGGAATTTTCACACTTAAATTCTAACTTAGCAATCTTTGAAATACGTAATCGACCAGGCTATGCGTTAATTGTGTGTTGACCGACTGTGTTGCATTACATTACATTTCGATATTTTGCTAGGTTATTTAATTTTAGTGTGTCTTTCTCCCTTTCTCCTAATTTTCAAGCTTGCGTACAGTACCACACGTCGCCCTACTCATTGATATGCTAATTTTTCCTCTGCCCCCTCCCTCTCTCCGACCCCACCCCCCCCCCCTCTCTCTATTTAAGGCCCCGTCACAGAGACGATCTCTCTCTTTGTGCCGATATGTGTCCTCTCTCTGTGTATCTTTGTGATATTTGTCTGCTTATATGTCTGTCTATAGTTTTCTGGTTAGATTTTTGTTGCTATTTCTTTCTTTTATACCTGATGATGATTGCTTGTGTTGCAATCGAAACGTCGTAGTATGCTATTATTTAATTTATTATTTTATCTTTATACGTGACTTTACCGAAAGAACCAAAGAGTACAAATATGTTATTGATGAGTTGAACATTGCCTCCTTTTTTTGTTGAATCTAATTGTACGTACAGCATGCACAGTACACATACAACTATAGACTGAATTCCGAAATACGGACAAATCGACTTACGAACGGATCTCAGCAACGTAACCCGTTCATAAGTTGAGGACTGCCCGTTACTTTACACCTATGCTGCCACACCATCGCCAACTAGAACCGACCAGCGTGGTGAAGTATGGTCAACTAACCCACGCACACACCTGCATGGTGCAGGGAGGGGGCATCAACCAGCAGTAGACCTGACGCAAAAATGGGCTGCAGATTAACACGAAAACGCAATCATTTAGGCCGATGTAACGAGGCGTTTTGCACAAGTGTCCAGAGCCAAAACGTCGTGCCCTCGTCGGGACGGATTATCGCGTAGCGGAGGAGTTAAGGGAGCTAACTTCTTTCGCACCGTACGTAGCCAACCGTGCTAATAGGAAGTGCGGAGGTAAGAACAACAAACTATGGATCTCTGTGTGAGTATGAAAGTATGTTTAACACATCGCGACCAATAACATCCATAATAGAGGTTTTTGGGTTAGATCGCGTAAATATATAAATGTGTCGTTAAAACCTGCCACCACCCGACACAGCCAACTAGTAAGGGTTCAAATTCGATAGATTCTCTAATTAGGGCAGCGTACAATACAAAGGCATCGTACTTCAATAGGGATTACCTTTGGTAGGGCTATTTTAATAAACACAATAGACAGGAAGGTCAAGTTCAAAGGGCTCGCATAATGCACATGCATAATGTACGTTGCCTCAGTAATCCCCCCCCCCCACATTGTGCAAGAGCGCAGAAGCGTGGTCAACACATCTACGCCTCTATATAAGGAACGAAACAGTAAGTCTTCTCCACAAATATGGCTGTCGCCTGATTAAGTTAGTTGTAATCACTGGCGAAACGTCGTACTCAGATTGTAAATGTTGTGGCTTGGCTCTCCAACACACCGGTGTGCTGTACTAGTGACGAATTGGCATGTTCTGTTGACGTGACAACCCTTACTAGTTGGCAGTGTCGGGTGGTGGCGGGTTTTAACGACACATTTATATATTTACACGATCTAACCCAAAAACCTCTATAATGGATGTATGTACGTATGTTGAACTTATTTCACACCATATGTAGCCAAACGTGCTAAGCAGGTGTGGGGGAAGGACAACTGAACATAAAAAGCAGTTCTAAAGAAATGAGTTTTCAATCTAGACCAGGGGTCGGCAACCAAAATAACAAGAAGAGCCATTTCTTTCCAATTCGGTACAAAATTCAGTATTTCAAGAGCCGCAATGCATCTATGTACATACTGTACATACGTACATATCGTCAAGAAGCAGCCCGTAAAGAGCCGCATGCGGCTCCGGAGCCGTAGGTTGCCGACCCCTGATCTAGACGAATTAAGAGTGCATAGCTCCAGTGGCCGCCTAATATCGGAAGGCAGAACGTTCCAGACGGCCGCAGAAGTGCATCTAACAGTGTGCGATCCGGTAACCGTCTTGGTTCAACGGCTATCCAAAAGCCGCTGCCAGGACGACCGGAAAAACGAATCTAAAACATCCCAAACGATGGTGTCGGCTGCTCAGTGTCCGCGTGCGGCCTCACCGACGCTGGCTCACGGCCGCCACCAGGTCTGGCCCCGAGAACATGGAGAAGCACGCGTGCCCGTTGGCCGGTAGGGGCTCCTCCCCGTGCTGGGCCGGGCGCCCGCCCAGTCCGAGCCAGCCGGCTCCTGGCGCCGCCACCCTGCACAACACACCTCCGATTAGCACGGTTGGCTAGGTACGGTGCGAAAGTTCAACATACGTACAAAGACAAAGATCCCCCCCGTTGTAGCCTTAATGGACTGCAGAGGCAAGTGCTGTCAGCGAGCACCTATGAAAGCCGGCACAGCACACGAGGGGGTGGGTGGCCAGCACCACGCCCGGCCACCTTTGTCTTTCTAGTGTCCATGTTTACGCACCGCACCAGGTACTCATTGGGGGCTGAGTCGACCTAGGGGAGCCCCAGGATCGTTTCAGATAATCTTCACTGGTGTTGGTGACCGTGAGCGGGAATCGAACTCGGGTGGCGGGGTTCATAGCGCACTAACCGTTGCACTACCGCTCTCCATCCTAGACAACAACCGCCATTCACCACTAAGTGGCGGTGACGTCACCACGGCGCTTGTGCCAGGCTATGTGCACTTTAAGGCCACGTGAAGTATCGAACGCCCGCTGGCAGTAGGTCACGGAATAGACCCAGGTGCCATGGGTTGACCGAGATGACTGGCCGATGCACAATCCTAGACACAGGTACACACAAGCGCACACGCAATGGCACCCATCTCCCTCTGACGGTGATGGCAAAATCAATGCGGTTGTGCACTCGCGATGTGGGCGATGTGGGCGATGCGAGCGGTGCGGCTGCCATGGATGGGGCGGTCGCTGCGGTTGCTGCCGGCGCTGCAGCCCTTTCTCACTTGGGCATGAACGAGTCCTTGCACTGCCAGGCACGGGCGGCCTCCCCGATTTCACGAGCCGCCGGCGCCGACTGCCACTCTCCCGCCGCCACCGCCTCCCCGAGTGCCGGCTGCGCTTGACTGCTCGGTGTCGCCCGGTGGCCCGGGCCGTGCTGGTGCTGAGACGACTTCTGCTGCTGTTGGTGCTGCAGCACTTGCGCCAGACCCGTCACGTAGCGCGCGTACTCCGGGTCGCCCTTGACTGACGTACGGTGAGAGTGGGGCAGGAGAGAAGGCAGGCGCCATTAGAAACCAACGCTGCTGCTTGGAGGAGCTCGGTTGGCTCTCGGTTACCCGTGGGCGGATGATCTGGGTTGCTGATTAACCGTACTTGCAAAAAAAGAACCAAACCATGTTCACGGCTGACGGTTCTATTATGAGATGCTCCTCAGTGATACGCAGTTTATGTGGTGAATTAGCCACTTAAATTCGGAACCAACCACAACAGTGAGTTCCCAGCTCATCAAACCCTGCAAAAAGCACGACAGCAAATCGTCGAAACAATCCTCCATTGCGTTTTCGCGTCGTGCTGAGCGCTGTTCGACATCGCGTCCATTTTGCTCCGCATGCCGGGGGCCTCCTTTCAGGAACCGAATTGTCGGATATCGCCCCGAACAACACACAGCACATCCCGAGAAACACACACGGAAACAAACGGCACGACCGCTAAACCTACGCCGCGCGGTGGTCAACTCGTCACCTGCGGGGTCGAGGGAGAGGAAGGTTTCGGGGACACCGCACAGACCGTCTGGCTGGAAGCGATTGGGCCACGTGTTGTTCCTCACGTGCGCCGTCTTGGCCGTGCCCTCGCCGGGCCCCGGCCCGAGCCGCCCATGCAGCTCCCACGCCGACCAAATTCCAGCTGCCGCCTGCGCCGCCTGTGCCACCTGCACCGCCTGCGCCGCCTGCTGCTGCTGCTGCTGCGGAGTCAGCGGTGGCGGCAGGGCGGCAGCTCCGGAACCGGGGCCGTGAGGCGACCCCTTGAAGAGCGTGGTGGGGCCGAGAGCACCCAGCATCGGGGGCGGGAAACCACCGCCAGCACCGCCAGCACCGCCGCCACTGCCTCCACCGCCACCGCCGGTGTAGCGCGGTGGGAACGGCGCTCCCGGGTCCGGCGTGCGGCGCTGGTTCATCGGCGACGGCTGCTGCGACTTGCTGAGTCCGACGCCCGACAGGAAGTCTATAACCTCCTGCATCTCCTGGTCGCTCGGCAGGTTCAGCCCCGTGCCCCGCTTGACGCTCGATCCCGCCACCGCGGCGGCGGCGCCGGTCGCGCCGCCACCAGTGCCGCCACGTGCCGGGCTACCGGAGGACGCGAGTTTGGCAAGCGGCCCGGAGGTGGCCTTCCACGAGCCGGCGCCACCGACGGCGGACGGCGGCACGAAGGCGCGCGTCGCCTTCTTGTCTTCGTCGTGGCGGGAGGGGCCGCTCTTGGCGGCGCCCTGGAACGTGACGGAGGCGGCGTGCTTCTTGGTGAGGCGCGAGGTGAGCCGCGAGAACGTCTTCTGGAAGCCGCCGCTCGGCTTGGCGCTCGCCGCCGTGCATTCTGGGAGCTCGGCCATGCTGGGCGAGTCGGCCGCCTCGCGCCTCAGCAGCAGCTGGATGCAGGGCAGCGCCTGTGCCCTGCGAGTGCGCGCATGAGCACCAGCCTCGTCAGCTGGATCAACGGGAGCCCAAAAGATTACGCGAGCGGCTTTGCCACACTTTACCCCACCACAGCCAACCGCATGTGACCTGCATATAAACTAACGACACACCAATTTAAATCAATCGGAGCGCACGCGTGAAAATATAAATGTGTTAAAATGAATTGCTAGCTTATGGGATAATGTTCGATTCAATAACAAAAACACAGAAAAGCTCATTCCGTCAAATCACAGCTCGGAATCGTAAAACGTCACCGAACCAGCGGAGACTCTGGCAAATGGCCACACGCTCGGCGAATCGCACCACCGCCTATTTGACGGGCGGCCCGGACGCCTGCGGTGACCGACGGGGTGCCGATCGTAAACGAGCGCACGGCGTCAGTTTGTGCTGGTGGCGCGACCCCCCCCCCCCCGTTGTGCCCACCCACCTGCCCGCCCGCCAGCGGGCCGGCTCGAGCGTGGCGGTGTAGAGCACGTCCACCAGCGCCACCGAGCGCTCGGGGTCGAGCCACCGGCGCAGCAGCGACATGGTGGCTGGGTCCTCCTTCACGCACCTGCGCACACCGACGGGGCACACCGCGACGCACCACGACGCCGTTACTGCCGGGAATACCGTGACGTCATTGCGCACAGTATAATACACGGGGATCTTTGTCTCTCTGTTGGTCCTAAATTTTATTGGACTCCACAAGGGGTTTTGACTGCGGGCCACACTTGATGTGTCTGCCGATACCTGGCGGCACAATGTGACAAGTAAAAATATTGCCACAAGAACCAGGGTCATGCCCCATTCATTCCGACAATCGCTTCCTAATATCGGAAGGAAGAGCCTCACCAGGTGGACGGCACCTGCACGACGATCTTGTCGCCCTCCTGGCTGATCTGTGGCGTGTACGCCTCCCGGTTTTCCACTTCGGCTGTATCAACCACGACCTACAACACACACACACACGCGCGCGGGTGTATGCCAAGTGGTGGCAGATGCATGAGCACAAATGTACGTACTTACATGCACAGACATGGGAGAAAACACACAGGTGGGCATCTAACATCGGGAGGGATAGACGTCATCTCGGTTGAAAGATGCCGCGATGGACAGACAGAAGGATGTTGGACAAAGACGGTCACCGCATCGCACGCTTTCAGATGCGCTCCTGCGGCCGTCTGGAACGCTTTTCCTTCTGATATTAGGAAGCCAGTTGAGCTACATGCACTTTTAAATCATCTAGATTGAAAACTGCTTATTGTGTATAGTTTGTTGTCCTTCCCCCGCACCTCTGATTAGCACGGTTGGCTACGTACGGTGCGAAAGAAGTTCAACGTACATACAGAAGTGGAGATATGCTGCAAGGAGCTACCAGCAAAGGAAACGCTTGTGGCCTGCAAGAGACCAAAAAGGACCAAGTGAATAAGTCTCACCAGCCCAGCCTGACCGAACAACAGCTGCACGGCCGTCTTGCAGGCTCCGCGCCACACCGAGGGGCACACGTGTCCCAGCGTCTCGCGCCCAAGCTCCTCCTCGGCCGCCAGCGTCTTGTGACCGGCACCGCCAGCCACAGGAGCTCCGTTGGCCCCGGTCAACGTCGCCGCCGCCGCCGGCACCCCCACACCGTTGGAGCCAAGTTCGCTGCCGGGGACGATTTTCACGGTGCCGCCGGTGCCGCCGGCATCGCCGGCGCCATCACGTTGGCTGGAGCTGCGTGGCGCCGTCGTCACACCCAACGCCTCCTTCAGAAATGCTCGCATGGCTTGCTGCAACGCTCGTGAAAAGAAACGACACCGGCGGGCTTTAGGGGTCGGCGAGGACAGTCTGGGGGGTTGTCACAGTACCGAGCCGGCAGCGCTCCGAGGCTGGGTTTGAATCCAATACGGAAATTCACTCAGCCAGCCACCCACCCACTCACCCACTCGCGAACCCAGCTGCTCAACCACCCAAATACCCCATCCAGCCAGCGACACTGCCCCCACCTATTAGGAAACGACTGGGAGTTGTGTGCAATTCTAAATCCAGACTGCAAACTAATTTCTTTAGAAATGCTTTTTGCGTTTAGTTTTTTGCCCTTCCCCTGCACCTCCCATTATCACGGTTGGCTACGTACATTGCCCAACAAGTTAAATCCGCATGCGTACTTACAGAAGTGGAGAGACACTGCAAGGAGATACCAGCGAAGGAAACGTACATACACATCCACTCCACCACTCACCCACCCCCCAGCCAGCCAGCCAGCCCAGCCACGAAGAGGCCACCGCTCGTACCATCTTGGCAGCGAGGTTGTCGGCGGTGGTGAGGCTGCTGGAAGGCACGCCCTTGAGGTGCGCGCTGCCGATGTGCAGCGATACGGTGGGCAGCTCTAGGGCCACCAGGGCCTCCGACAGGCGGCTCATCCCAGCCTGCTGGGCCTCCGCCTCGATGCAGCAGTCCTGGGCACAACAACCACGGTCGGTTAAGGTCCAGGCCTCACACCAGGCGGTCGCCATCCCTCAATAAGTTTTGCAGTGCGCCACACGCACAAATCGATTTCACCACTGCACCTTCTGCGGTGGCCGTATTTTCGGGCATGTTCACTCCCAACCTTAACGCTCAAACAATGGGCATCACCATTCCCACAGTGACGTGTCCTGCCCAAAAGCCCGCCTCTTACTTTTATTAGCAGTACCCCCCCCCCCCCCCCCAAGTAAGGGGGGAATTAAGACGTCGCTTAACTGCAACTGCGGGGAAGAGCGATGGATCACTCACAGCGCCGATCGGTGCCCAACACAATTTTTGCAGGAGGTACAAACGAAAATCATTCGCCATCAAATATTTCTCCAAACCCAACACGCGCGGTTACAAACTCAGTGCGCGTTGCTTTCCGAATGCCAGACGAAAGGTTTGTCGTACTCCCATTTGTGCTGTTGCATTGGAAGCGATGTTGTAGTGTTGTTGTTGTGCACCTGTGGTCCCGACCGCACCCCACCCCTGTCCGCCAGCAGTCTCCGCTCACCTGCAGCACCTCCTCGGTGTGCGCAGGGCTCCGGTGGAACCCGGCCTTCATGGAGAACTCACTCTGGTGCAGTCTCTCCAGGGCCTGCATGTATGCCTGCAGAGCGAGCGGGGCAAGTGCCGGAAACACGCCAAATATTACCGCCACCGCTCCCAGCGCATGCCACCACTACCACGACACACACCAAATCACACCACCAACACAAGCACCACAACAACCACGTCCTTCAACACCACAAGCGCAAGCACCGTCACCTTCACCACAAGCGCAATAACCAGACATGTAGAAGGATAATTTTAATGTATTAAATTAATTTGCATGTAATTTAGTTTAAATAGCCATTTAAGAAACGCAAAATCATGCTAATAGCATCTCTCATGCACAATGCTGTCTCGTCACAGTGTGTTCATTGAAGTGGTTCAACTCAAGGTTTTTGTTTGGTTTGTCAGGTAGAGAATTCCATACAACACACCTCCTTTAAAGTTAACAATACACCTCCTTCAAATACCTGTTCCCCTACGTAAAAAAAAGTATTGTTTACACAAAGATCCCCCGTATAGCCTTAACAGACTGTAGGGGCAAGTGCTGCTAGCGAGCACCTACGAAGGCCGTAACGGTACACGAGGGGGTGGGTGGCCAGCACCACGCCCGACCGCCTTTGTCTCCCCAGTGGCGATGTCTACACACCGCACCAGGTACTCATTTTGAGGCCGAGTCGACCTAGGGGAGGCCCGGGACCGGTTCAGATAATCGTCACTGGTGTTGGCCGCGAGCCGGAATCGAACCCGGGTCACTGGGTTTATAACGCAGCGCGCTAACCGCTGCACTACCGCTCCCCACATTGAAAGTCGACGAATACAATGTTTACACATCCCATCAACCACACGCATCATTACTGGCCTACCAAGAGCATACATCTTACCTATAAATGTCATTGTTTGTCTGTCTGTCCGTGTGTGTGCGGCCGAAACTTGCGAAGGATTTGGCTCGCAAACCGTGGGGTTTACGCTTAAAAAAAAAGTTGCCAGGTAGCACGCCACAAGCCCCGTCCTGGAACAACGCTATTCCGATTTCGCGTCCGTCACCTTTAAAGTAGTTTAAATAGCGATTTAGTGCTGTTTTCGTTTATTTATTACATAGCGCATGCTCGACCATACCAACTCACACGCGTCGGTGGGGGGGGGGCAGGCCCCTACTAAGTCAAACGCATTCGGTGGGGGTGAGGGGGGATAGCTCTTTCGTGTGGACACTGCACAAGGTAACACACACACAGATTTACAGCTCCCTTCAAACATTTGTTACCATCACTGTTTACTCATTACAAAATTTCCTTTTATAGGTTAGATTTAATGACAGGGATGAACCAATGTTGTTGAAGAATAGCCTTTTTCTGTACTCTTGAGACATAAGCAGCCACGCAATATCACTTACTGCACAGGGAAAAACCAATAAATATACTCAATTACGTCTTCATTCTATCATATTTACACTTGCCCACTCAGTAGGGGGGTTGAGCAGTGATGTTATGTCAATTACGCTTGATTGGTGCGCATCGGCTCATAGTTACAGGTAGGTGAGGTTCATTTTGTATTCGTTGACTTTCATTAATTTTCCGTCCTTGCTCACAGCAAATGTTTGCACCTAAATCGCAGTCGCTCCTAATTACATACTTATTATACACGCATGCATTTCCCCTCTCCCTTGCTTCTTTCGCTAAAGTCACGTACATAGAAAACTATTATTTACAAACTTGTTTAGTCTATATAAAAGTTAGAGTGTGCGTGTGTTCGTCCATGTGTGTGTGCGAGTCCATATATGTGTGTGAGTTGTGTCTGTGCGAGTCCGTGCGTGTGTGCATCTATGTGTGTTTAAGTCGATGTGTGTGTCAGTCGATGTGTGTGTCAGTAGATGTGTGTGTGTGTGTCAGTCGATATGTGTGTGTGTTAGTCGATGTGCGTGCATAGTTCCATGTGCGTGTGAATCTATGTATGTGTGTGTTTAAGTCGATGTGTTTGTGTGTGTGGGTCCATGTGTGTCAGTCGATGTGTGTATGTACGTCGATATGTGTGTGTGTGAGTCCATGTGTGTGTGTGTTAGTCGATGTGTGTTTGTGTAAGTCCATATGTGTGTGTGTGTAGGTCAATGTGTGTGTGACTATGTATGTGTTTGTTTAAGTCCATGTGTGAATCGATGTGTGTGTGTTAATCGATGTCTGTGTGTGTTAGTCGATATGTGCGTGTGTTAGTCGATATGTTTGTGTGTGTGTAGTTTCATGTGTGTGTGAGTCTATGTGTATGTGTGCGTCGATATGTGAGTGTGTAAGTCCATGTGTGTGTGAGTCGATAAGTCAATGTGTCTGTGTGCGTCTATGTGTGTGTGCGCAAGTCAATGTGTGTGCGTAAGTCGATGTGTGTGTGTGCGTCGATATATGTGTTTGTGTGAGTCCATGTGTGTGTGAATCTATGTGTGTTAGTCTTGGTCAGGCAACCCGTGGCAACTGGGTCTGCCCCGTGACCTCCTGCCAGCGGGCGTTCGACACTTCATGTGGCCTCAAGGTGCACATGGCCTGGCACAAGCGTCGTGGTGACGTCACCGCCACTTAGTGGCGAATGGCGGTTGTTGTTGTTGTTAGTTGATATGTGTGTGTGTGTTTAAGTCCGTATGTGTGTGTTTAAGTCCATATGTGTGTGTGTAGGTCGATGTGTGTTTGAGTCTATGTATGTGTATATAAGTCAATGTGTGCGTGTGTGCAAGTCGATGTGTGTGTGCGTCAATCGATGTGTGTGTGTTTGTCAATGTGTGTGCGTGGTGTGTGTGTGTAGACAACTATTATTTAACGATTAAGTTCGTAATTTTTAAAATAATGTGTGTATCTAAGTACATGTTTGCGTGTGAGTGGATTTGCGTGTCTACCTCCATGTGTGTGTGAGTCGACGTGTGTGTGTGAGTCGATGTGTGTGTGAGAGGCGATGTATATGTGTAAGTCTATGTGCGTGTGTAAGTCTATGTGTGTGTGTGAGTCTATGTGTGTGTAAAGCTGTGTGTGTGTGTGTGAGTCGATGTGTGTATGTAAATCGATGTATGTGCGTGCATCCATGTGTGTGTGTAAGTCCATATGTGTGTGTAAGTCCATATGTGTGTGTAGGTCGATGTGTGTGTGTGACTATGTATGTGTGTGTGTGAGTCGATGTGTGTGTGTAAGTCTATGTGTGTGAGTCGATGTGTTTGTGTAAATCCATGTGTGTGTGTCTAAAGTCACTGTCTGTGTGTTACTCCATGTGTGTATGTGTAAGTAGATGTCTGTTTTTCAGTCCATATGTGTGTGAAAGTCAATGTGTTTGTGTGTGTGGGTCGATGTCTGTGTGTGTGTGTGTAAGGCTCGTGAAGGACGCTAATGGTTAGTTGAAGGCAGTCGTCCTCCAACAACAACAGAGGGCGGAGAAGCGACATTCAACAACGAGAGGAGCGCCGGGTGGCTAAAGCACAGCAAGTTGGCACAGTAGGGGGCACAGGTGGTGCATCAGCCAGTCATCTCAGTCTTCTCAGTCAGTCGACCTGTGGCACCTGTGTCTGCCCCGTGACCTCCTGCCAGCTGGCGTTCGACACTTCACGTGGCCTCAAGGTGCACATAGCCTGGCACAAGCGTCGTGGTGACGTCACCGCTACTTAGTGGCGAATGGCGGTTGTTGCAAGTCGATGTGTGTCTTTTTCACCCCGGCAACGCCGGGTACTTTCCGCGAGTAGAATATATAACCAAGAGGTGGGAAAAAAATCCCCAGGTAAAAGAATAAACGACGCGCAAAGGAAAATCAACTACGCAAACGACTGCGATTGTCCGCGGGGCAATGGGGCACAGCCGCGGGGAAACAGGGCGCGCACGCACGGCGCATCACCTGCAGCGCGTGGTCCACTTGGCTGTTGAGCTCACGTAGCTGCGCATCCGCCACGTGGTTTCCCTGGCAGCAGAAGAGCTTCTGCACCTCGCGGCCCACGAGCGTGCCGTCCGGGGCCCGCCCGCGGAGCGCCGCTGTGGCCTAGGCACACGCGCACACGGTGGTAGTGTCGGTGAGCACAGTCAGACCAGTACGGCCACCTTTGTTTCGCCGCATATGTATATAAAATGAAAAGTGTGTTGTTCGGAAAAATGGAAGGAACTGGAAAGAGAGTAAGACCTAACAGAGAATGGGCTTGATGACATTCGAGTTTGGTGACAGAAAGGTGTGGCACTACTTGAGCGTATTGGCACAAGTGGAAACAAATGATGAAATGTGCAGTGGACACCTACGGGACTATCTGCCCATGGATCGTGATGATGGTGATATATGCACATCTAGGCACGTGTGTACAAACCTCGCAAACGACCCCACATCCGCACTCATACAAAAGATTTCCCCGTAGAACCACAACGAACGGTTGGGGAAAGTACTGTTAGTGAGCACCCATGAAGGTGAGCAGAGTGAACGAGGGGGACGGTGGTGTGGCCGACACCACACCCGGCCGCCTTTGTCTCTCTAGAGTTTTACAACAAGGAGGAATTGACATAGGGGAGACCGTGGACAAGTTATGATATCGCTCACCACGTGTGAATGTTCATGTTAGAAGTGGAACGATTCACTCCCCCGTGATTCAATGAATTTCACGATTCGGAGTCGCAACTAGATCAACAATCAACCATTTTTCTCGGCTCGCTCATGCAGTCTTGTTTGTGCCTTTGTTTGCTCCATTAGCTTAGGAGGTAGCATGAGCACACGTGGAATACATGGAAACCATATATTGCGAGTAACCAATTATCACCAGCACGATTCGACCCATGCATCACGGTCGCGAAAATAGATTTTAATTTCCGAATCGAGATGCCGATGGAATCGGCTCAAGCGCAGGAAGCTTGCCGAACTGTCGCATCGCGAAAGAATGCGAGGAGTGGCGATGTCTTGGGGAAGGCATTTAACCAGCAGTGGAATAGCTCATGCATGGTGCTGCTGCTGACGATGATGAAACTTAATTGGAAAAGTGGTTGTAACGGCAGCGTCTGACCATACAACCGGACACCACCACCGCCGCACACCTGCACAGCCTGGCGCCAAGTCTGCAGGGCGTCGCGCTGCTCGGTGTCGGGGTCAGGGGGCGTCCGGCCGGCGTCCGGCGCCAGTAGGTCGCCGGCGAGCTCGTGGCCCAGCGCCCGCGCCACGGGCAACAGCGTCTTGACGCCCTGGGAGAGCACGCTGCACTGCAGCCGCACCAGCATCGAGAGGCAGGAGCCCATAACCTGGGACGGAGAAACGGTGGCAACAACACCAAACAACGCGGCAACCGTCACACCACGTCCGCGTCGGTTAAGTCGATGGGGAAAACAATGAATGAATCGGAGGTTTGAGAGAGCCGAGCTGGCACGGAGGCTCAGGTCCTGGCTCCAATGCAGGCAGCTGCACGTGATTAAATTGTGTCCTGAAGCGGAGAGAGTTGTATGGAGGTAATTAAACGTAATATAAATGTCGCATTTTTCAAAAACGGTATTATTTTCAGAATGCTGGACATCCCTTAATACAGAAAGACTCTTCCCCCCACACCCCCGATGAGTTTTTGCACGGCAAAGTTTTACTACCAGTGAGCGGCAAGTAATCAGGTCGAGTTCAAAATCCTGGTCAATAGAATAAGTATCATATCTATGGAACATTTTGCCAGTATAAAAAAAACGGCTCAAGCCAAGCTATTAATGCTCTGATACTTGCGTTGTCTATGTACTGTTTGCCTTTTGGAATTCTCTGATAGAACACTGGTGGTGAGACAAGGCTGTAAAAAGAAGTCTCTGGTGTAGGCCAATTAGTTCCAGACAAAGCATGTATTATCAGAGCATGTTTGTTTACATGTTTTGCCACAAGTATGTGTGGTTATTGCAGACTTGATGCCTTGCAAATAGGTATCTATTTAACACGTAGGCTTTCGCGACCAATATTATTCATAATCAACGTTTTTGGGTTTAGATTGCGTTATTTATAAATGTGTCGTAACCCTCCACCACCCGACACGGCCAATCAGTAAAAAAATGTCACGTTGACAAAAGACAAATAGTTCACTGCTTTAGCCCACCGGATGTGTTGAAGCGTGAAACCACAACATTTACAATTTGATTACAATTTGATCCGCATCATCACCCAGCTCAGAAATCCTCTCTTATCAAGATGCTCATACATCGGGCTAAAACAGTGTCAGATGGTGAAAGTCTAGTGAGAGAGATTAAACATGTTAAAGAAGCACTAAGACAGAATGCTCAAATTAACAGAGCACTAAATGCCAAATCACGATCGCAAAGCAACACTGCTGAAAGCGATCAGATTATTAAAACAATAAAAATACCATTTATCTCAGGAGTAACTGACAAATTAGCCCGTGTTTTGCAAAAGCAATACATTACAGTAAGATTTGGTACAGTACACAAAATTCAACAACTAGTAACGTGCACTAAAGACGAATTACCTAACTTATCAACAGAAGGTGTATATCGAATTAATTGTGTATGTGGCAGATGCTATATTGGACAGACAGGGCGTAACGTTAGTGTAAGACTAAAAGAACACCAGAGAAATATTAAACTATCACAAACACAACTGTCGGCAGTGGCAGAACATGCATGCCAACAGGGACACTCAATTGATTTTGACAACGTTGAAGTATTGTGTAAAACTAGTTACTACTGGCAAAGACTAATTAGAGAATCCATTGAAATTGAGAGAAACAGAAATAACTTTAATCGCTCAGACAGCTACAGGCTTAGTGCGGCCTGGAAGCGTATTATTAAATAAGATACATTACAATTCCTTATAAGGGAAACAAACACTAACTGATTACTAATGTAGCATAATCACAATAAAACACATTCCAAATGATTACTAATCGACAACTCGCATCGTAACAATAGCCTGATTACTAATCTAGTATATAATTACAATAACTCCCCCCTCGAATCTTTGCACCTGATGAGTTAATGATGACGTCACCCTGCTGCTGCTCTATATAAGAACGGGAGACACAGCAGAGCCTCACCATTCTGGCGAATTGCCCGATGATGCTGGATGCAATTACCAGCGAAACGTCGTACTCAAATTGTAAATGTTGTGGTTTCACGCTTCAACACACCGGTGGGCTAAAGCAGTGAACTATTTGTCTTTTGTCAACGTGACATTTTTTTTACTGATTGGCCGTGTCGGGTGGTGGAGGGTTACGACACATTTATAAATAACGCGATCTAAACCCAAAAACGTTGATTAGGAGGTATCTATTTGGTGTTTGAACATCTTAACACCTTCTGTGTTATTGCCAGAAGGGGTAAAGACTATTATTATTTTTTCAAAATAAATAGAACTTTGTGGGAAAGCCAACAGTTGTTGTCCTATGGATAGAAATGCCCTGCCATGGGACTGTCATTTCCACCACTGGCTCTGCAGGGCTGTTAACAGGAGACGAGCAACTCATTAATGCTCATTCGAGCGGCAGCTTCCTCCAACGTTCGACTTCCGAGCAACCGCCAATCGCCGCCGCGCCCACACCTGTATGTCCTGCCTCCCCCTCTCCGCGCCGTCGCCCGGCGCCGTCGGTCCCAGTCCCCTGGCGATCTCGGAGACCTCCGCGCGCACCAGCGCTGCCAGCGCCCCGGCCGTGCTCCGCACCACCTCCTGCGCCTCCGCGAACCCGACAGCCGCCTCGCCGAGCGGCGTCCCGTCCAGCGCGCGGCCAAACGAGGCGGCCGCCCGCGACCCCGCGGCGCAGCACGCGGCCAGCGCGTCCAGGTACGAGTGGACCTCCTCCGCCACCCGTTGGGCACGGGCGGGGCCCGGGGGGAGCGACGCTGCCGGTGCAGCCGCCGACGGCGAGGCCGCCGTCGGCGCCATGGCTACGGTGGTGGTGACGGAGGCGGCAGTTGTCGCCGCCACGGAGGCATAGGAGGGCCAGTCGGTGAGGGTTTGCTGGTTCCCACCGACTGCCTTCCGCGGAGGCCCTCCGAGCGAAATCTGCGGCTTCATGGCTTCCATTGGCCCCGCCTTGTCCTAAGTGGCGAGTAAAAGGTGGACAGATACTGTTTTAAATGTTTGATTTCTCGTGGATTTGGCTGGATGAGAAGCCGTTGAAGAATGTTATTCATATGGTTTAGCGCCGACAGATGTTGCATAGATTAATAATCAGATGTATAATTTGTGAGATATACATAAAAGCGAGCAGGCTTAACTAAAATACACAGCTCCAAGAGACCGCGGCCGTTGGCCATGACTGATGACAGCCAGGCGCGAACCAGCTCCTCAAACATCACCATCTCATACGGTCTCACAATGCAACAATCTGGCTCCTGTATGTACTACACTATTTTATCGAACAATTTTTTATTTTACCAATTGGCTTATCACGTAACTATGTATAGCAGCCAAATACTCTAAAACGCATGTTTCTAAATGTGGAGGGAAAAACGAGAGGACCCGGAGAAAAATCCACACGACCACGGGGAGAAAGACATACACTCCAAATATACAGGCATCAGCGTCGGGATCGAACCCACAACCACCTGCACAACACGCGAGGGAGTTAACATCTCGCCACCGAAGCGCCCTATGATACAGTAATCGCTCCATCTCCAAGGTGGACCAATTCCCTCCACCGGCTGCCACTCCGCCTTTAAGTCTCCACCACGAGCCCTCATCCCCCCTTCTAGCGACGCGTATTTGTTGTTTGCAATGAGATCACACCACTCCTTCAACTGCCAGAGGAGCTACCATTCATCACGATGTTCAAAAAGGGAATAAAATTAGAAACCACGCCGTTATCCTGTGGCTCGGCAATGTAAAATTTGCTATGGCCAGAGGGTGAATCTTATGCACACTTAAACAATGCAAACATAGTACAATGTTGCATATCCAAACATCATAGACTAGGGGTTGTTCGGGGGCGCCTGCGGAGGCCCTCAAACATTTACGGCCTTCAGCCAGGAAAGTCACAAAAAAATTGCACACGAACGACGCATTCATGCAAGCACCCGATGCTCTGTATTGAAGTTTTGAAATGTAACATCTTTGAATTGTATTATGTTTTGAATTAGATAACTTTATTTCGTCATTAAATAGCTTATATCATCTTACATCTGGAAGATTTAATTGAAAAGGACATTTCGTGTGAATTTTCTCTCATCGTTAAGTAGATGGCCTTGCTGGAGGTTCGGTTCAATGCGGACTTTCACCTGTTTGGGATTACGGGATCGAGATAAGGCGACAGAGCTGGCCGTGCGAGAACATCGCTGTCTGCAGATCGATTCCAACGTAATCGAACGTCTGTCCCTGCGCCTCCGTCGTTCATGCATGGGGCGCGTAGCTTTGCAGCACCCCCTGCATGAAAACGACGGAAAGTGCAGCGTTCATCACAGATAAAGTTGTGCGCTTATATCATACATACTCATTAGCTGCTAGTTTCCAACCCAGCGCGTCCTTTGCGCATGGTGGGTGTGAGTGTCATTCACAAAAGCTATCTTTTCAGTGTTACGCCTTCTTATTCTCACATCAGTTCACGTACTCCTGAAGCACGGTAATGCACCTTCCCATGTTTAAGGCAGTTCACACTTTTTTGCACAGTAACCTGTTTGTGCACGGTGGCGCAACTGACATTTTCTATAAAAGTTCAAATATCTGACCTTTTTACATCCACCTATACCTCAATCCCCAGTCACACACATACGACGTTGTATGTATGTTTAACTTCTTTCGCACCATACATAGCCAACTGTGCTAATCAGAGGTGAGGGGGAAGGACAACAAACTAAACACAAATAGTAATTCTTGAGAAATGAGTTGTAAATTTAGATTTAAAAGTGCATGACAGCTCCAGTGGCTTCCTAATATTGGAAGGAAGAGCGTTTCAGATGGCCGCAGTAGCGCACCCGAAAGCTCGCGACGCAGCGACAGCCTTTGTTTGGTGGCTAGCGAAAAGCCACTGCAGCGAGGATCACCGGAGTTTCTGTGATGGTTTATGCAAGAGTACTTGCACTGCAAATGTTCACCATCCAAGCAACAAGTTTACGCAGTGAAGGCCACCTCAGCCGCATCGCCTAGGGTGTTTGAAGCGAGTGAGCGAGCGAGCTTGCGAAAGGAGCAGGGAAGAGGGGTGGGAGCGAGGACACTGCTCAGGAGCCACCTGTGAGTGGAGGTGACGGCCCGGGGCTCAGCGACTGCGCGACCCAGCCCGGCTACGACGCGGCATGGCCCACGCTCGTCCGTGCGGCTCCTGGCCTCCTCTCACACGGGCCGCCCAGCAGCTGTTACTGCTGCTGCGTCTGTCCACGAAGGAAAAACATCGCACGCACGCACACCCATCAGCATCGTTTTCCTGCTGTCAAGAGGAATTTTCCGCAAGTCTTTTGTTTTCAGGATGCTTGCGTATCCGCTCTGTCTGTTCATCGTTTGCTGGTTACTCCTTGGCACAGTTCATGAGACAGCAACAGCACAGCTGAAGTGGATTTCTCTTGAGGAGTGCAGTGTCCTGATATGCGGTCACGTGAAGACGTTCTACGAATCCAAGCGGCCTGACTGCTGATGAGACTCAAAAAGTGGAATCTGGTAATCACTGTCCAGAAAACCAATCGGCTGATGGGAAAAATACATATTTAATTATGTCAAGAATTGGACTTCAGTCTGTTCAATTATAATAGTAGAAGTTCATGATCCACGGTGAGGCATGCAAACGACGAATGTGTCGCAAATATATTTTTTCAAAATATATTTGCGCTTTTATGCTCCACTGCCAATACGTTCCCAAAAGATTTGTACATCAACTCGCTTCCTTTCGTTCCACCCTGCTCTGCTCGTAGCCACCCCCAACGCTCATCTCCTTTCTGAAAATATATTTATTTTACAACAACAACAAAAAAGCCGTTCCGAAGCTTCCAAAAAATACACAAAGTTCCTCTCTATTTGCAGAGGGCATCTCGTGACGCATTATAATTCCACATCGTATTGCGTAACAACCTCAAAACAAGTACAAACGTGTTCTTTTACTACGATTATTTATCCTCCCAGAGTAAAACGCACAATTATTATGCTTAATGATAATGAAGCAGCGTATTCTTGTCGCCTTCTTAGCTTTAAAATGACGCAATGGGCGTCGTGCTGTCACAAGATGAAGAAACGTCCACTGGGAACTGTCAGAAAGCATTCACCACGTCACCACATGGTAGCGAACGGCCTCTGCAGGACTACTTCGGAGGTCCCCGTCCAGCTATGTTTAGAATCACCCCGATCTCGGAAGCGAAGCAGGTTTGCTTGGGCGTGGTTACTGCTTGGATGGGAGATTGCGTGAGGAAACCCGGCGTTGTAGTCCTTGGGCTGCGAGTTCGCCAAGAATACACGGCCGTAAGGCAACAGTGGCGAGGAGATTTTAACTACCTCGGCTAGTATACAGGGGCCGTGGGTTCGATCCCGAACCTGACGCCTGCTGTATATTTGGAGTTGGCATTTCTTTCTCCCCGTGGTCGCGTGGATTTTCTCCTGCTCCTCCGATTTTCCCCTCCACAGTTAGAATCAACACGTGTTTAGAGTATTTTGCTAATGCTATAAATGTTCCACATAAGCCGCTTCGTCGAGCTATCATGTGGCCTGGTCGCTTCTTAAAAATAGAGCTACGTAGCTCAGTGGGGCCTTACTTGGTAAAAAAAAATTCGTTTTTTTAGAATAGCAACAGATTCATAAAACCAACTGTGCGGCGGGAATTCTTTGAGTGTCACTGCCTCGAATGCATGGCGGGTTTCCTCCGGGTTTCGTCGCACGCGAAGCCAACCTCTCGCGAATGGAAATGAACGTCCATCCCAATGTAGCAAGGACCCTCCCGAAGGAAGTCTTAAGGCGCGGTGGAGATCTCCTGGGTAAAACAATAATAATACAAGTGGCGCTGATATCAGAAATGTCCCCTTAGTCCACGCACCGCTTTGCGAAATCCTCACGGGATAAAAAAAAAACAGCGCGTCCGCTCCACAGAAATCTGACGATCACAGCAACATCGCTCAGAGCTGGAAGAAGCCGAGGCAAGCGACAACACCGAAACGCAACAAGAGTCGTCAATTTGTGACCGAGTCGCGTCAACTCGCCTCAATGGAAGAAACCCAGCTTAGTCACTGCCAGGTGAGCCTCAATATTGGAAACTTAGAACGTAAGAAGCGAGGCGACGCAATGTCAGCCGGCTTCGCCACCACCGAGTCAACACCGAGGGGAGCCGGGGAGGGAGCGGCCGCGGCCTCCGTACCGTGCCGATTCCCGGCAGGGAAACTAGGCAAGACCGGGGTGAGGGGGGTGGGGGAGGCCGCGGACTGCTCGGAGGCCTGGGCGCACTCGGCTTCCCGACCGCTTCAGGCGAGAAACTGCGGAGGAGAGGACGGGAGAGGGAGCGGGGAAGACGAAGGGGGCGCGGCGATGGGGAGCGAGCGCGACGCGCGCGGACTTGACGTTACCTCGCTCAGGGCGTCCCCACGACGAAGCGTAGCGCCGCCATGTTTGGGCGCGACCCCCGGCGCGTGTACACCGGAAGTGGATCCGGATCCGGTTGCCGCCCCCCCCCCCTCATTCTGTCGCCCCCCCCCCTCATTCTGTCGCCCCCCCCCCCTCATTCTGTCGCCCCCCCCCCCCATTCTGTCGCCCCCCCCCCCTCATTCTGTCGCCCCCCCCCCCTCATTCTGTCGCCCCCCCCCCCCCTCATTCTGTCGCCCCCCCCCTCATTCTGTCGCCCCCCCCCTCATTCTGTCGCCCCCCCACACAGTCCCCCCCCCCATAGTCCCCCCCCCCCATAGTCCCCCCCCCATAGTCCCCCCCCATAGTCCCTCCCCCCCACAGCCCCCCCCCACAGTCCCCCCCGACAACCCCCCCCCCACAGTCCCTCCCCCCCACAGCCCCCCCCCCACCGTCCCCTCCACCCTCCCCCCACCCTCCCATCGTCCCCCCACCCTCCCATCGTCCCCCCACCCCACCACCGTCTATTAATTCATTCATCCCAGTAACCACGTGCATGCGTTGGAATTCAACGGAGGACTCTAACCCAGGTTGCTATTTGACAGGGTTTCCCTGGCTCTGATTTGTTTGTGGTATCTCCCGGACTGTCAGCCGTCATCCCTGCAACAAAATGACCCGATCTCAGATGCCAAGCACCGTTGAGTCCGGTTCGAAATAAAAAGTTTTGATCACATATGTTTGAACCCAAATGGATAACACAATTGAGTAAAACATACTGCGCCACAATTCGAACAATCGGTACCATGGTTACTTTCCTACTGTTATACTTCCTAGTATTCTATAACTTAGTAGAGCTCTCACAACCTCCTTCTCTCCAGGCATAACTCCACTCCAACTTCCATTTCATAAATGTGTTTCTATTCTTCAACTACCTTATTGCCTTAACTGACAGTCTCTGATCTCTGCACCTGATTGGGTTAAATGATGACGTCACCCTGCTGCTCTATTTAGAACCAGGAGCAGGTGGAGGGCTTCACTATTCTGGCAAATTGCCCGATGATGCTGGATGTAATTACCAGCGAAGCGTCGTACTCAAAAAGTGTAAATGTTGCGGATTCACTCTTCAACACACCGGTGGGCTAAAGTAGTGAATTCTTAGTTTTTTTTTTATCAACGTGACACATTTTTTACTGATTGGCCGTGTCGGGTGGTGGAGGGTTGCCACACATTTATAAATAACGCAATCTAACCCAAAAACCTTTATTATGAATGACAGCTTCGTTGTTGTCCATTAACTGCCCCCAACTGACAACCTCGTGGCTGTCCATTCGCTGCCCCCAACTGACAACCTCGTAGCTGCCCATCAACTGCCCCCAACTGGCAGCCTCGTGGCTGTCCGTCAACTGCCCCCAACTGACAACTTCGTCACTGTCTGTTAACTGCCCCCCAACTGACATCTTCGTGCATGTCAATTAACTGCCCTCAACTGACATCCTCGTGGCTGTCTTTCAACTGCCCCCAACTGACCTCAGGGCTGTCCGTTTACTGCCCCCAACTGACAACCTCGTGGCTGTCCGTCAACTGACACAAACTGACAGCCTCGCAGCTGCCCGTTAACTGTCCCAACTGACAACTTCGTTAATGTCAATTAACTTCCCTCAACTGACATTCTTGTGGTTGTCTTTCAACTGCCCCCAACTGACGTCAGGGGTGTCCGTTAACTGCCCCCATCTGACAACCTCGTGGAGGTCCGTCAACTGCCCCCAACTGACAGTCTCGTAGCTGCCCATTAACTGCCCCCAACAGACAACCTTGTGGCTGTCCGTTAACTGCCCCCAACTGCCAGCCCCACGGCTGTCCGTTAACTGCCCCCAACTGACAGCCCCGCGGCTTTCCACCGATCACACTCCACGTAAGTCACGAGCTGTACCGCTGGGGCTCTTGTCCGTCCACTCGAGTGGCGATGTTTAAGCGTTCACATTAAGCACCACGAGTCGGGAGTCTTCATCCCTGCAGTCCCCCATTGTCGTGCCGCATCCCTTTGTGCAGCCTCCAAATTCATGTATACACTAGGCAACGCCTTCATAATTGATTGCGTCTCAGGACACTACCGCTAGATGTACTGCTGGGGAATGGCAGGCACGATTGGGGATGATAGTGCGGTGCAACGGGAAATTGAGGGGCACAGCGATGTAGGTGCGGAATCTTGAGTGCCACGCTCTCCCCTGCGTGGTGGGGCCTTTCCGGCTTGTCCCACAAGTCGCTGGATGCTCATCAGAATCGTTCGAACATCCAAATGTAACGGGACCCCACTGAACACGCCTCACTCGGTTGTCGTGGTAGGTCTCTTTTTTTCCCCTTCCTGGGAATCTGACAAATCGCACCCAGCTGAACCCCTATGCCCGAACAAGCATTTTCATAACATTTGCTTACCGTACTCTAAGCAATGTATTTCTTTTCTAGTAACTTACTCCAGCACTGACTTTGACAACACGTACGTTTTCTTTTTGCCACCCAATAACGCTGTGTCAACATTCGGACTGTGACTATGCAACCCAAGTTATGGGACATCCAGGAAAACACTACCGTCGTCAAGAAGCATAAACCACAATCACGCAAACTCCGGTCCATCCTCGCAGCGGCGGCTTTTGGCTGGCCATCGAACAAAGACGGTCACCGTATTGCGCACGTCCAAATGCGCTTCTGCAGGCCGTCTGGAACGCTCTTCTCTTTCCGATATTAGAAAGCCACTGGAGCTATGCACTTTAAATCTAGATTTAAAACAAATTTCTTTAGAAAAATTGTGTTTAGTTTGCTGTAATCACCGCACCTCCAATGAGCACGGTTGGCTACGTAGTGTGAAATAAGTTCAACATACATAGTCTGCGCTCCGCCAATGGAGGCACAGCAACTGTGCCTCCATTGGCGAGTAGACTTTGACATTGCCATTTATCTCTTGCCAAACGCAATAGAATAGCACATTGTGCTAATGATTTAGCCCATAATTCTTAAGGGGAGTGATAGATTATGAATAGAGTACCACTTTGTGGAAAGTCAACAGTGGTTATCCAAGGGAGGATCCAGTCGCTGACATGTTTTTCATAGACGTTCGTCAATCCACTGCTGGGTGAGGGCCTCTCTATGCTGCCCGCATCGTGGGGGTTATTTGACCATATTTCACCACGCTGGTCCACAAAAGGATAGTGAAGATAGAGCGCAGCAGCGGGGGAAAGTAGTAGTATGATAGATGTTGCTGAAATGCCCTCTGCTGACACACACACCAAATGTTTAGGCATCTGACAATGCAACTTTTAAAATAGATTCTTACACGCAGGAGACACGGATAAAAGTAGGCGAAAATCTATTATTTCCAAAGCATGATAACTATGTACAACTTGGATTTATATAGCATGTGAATGCAACCGCAACTCAACATACAAAATGGCTCGCTAGTATTCCATTTGGACATCTGTAAAAACTACTGGACATCTGTGAAAAAGAGCTTTATAGGTAATCGGATTCCTCCAGTATAAATAAATATTCTGATTCTGACATTTAGGCTTAACAAGTGCAAACATCAAAGTGTACAACCGAGACAGAAAAACTTACAACAAACGAGACGGTAAAAAAAACGTCGGGTGAGGATTCAACTCATCGGGGATTTGAATTTCCACGATACCGGGGCATGTTACGAGTCAACAATCGATTGTCCAATTTTTACCGTCTCGTTTGTATTCTCTCATCCGCCCCCCCCCCCCCGTCTTGCTCGTAACATCAGTAACACCTGCACACACATTACATATTTCTTTCTACACAATTCGATGATGCGCGTGCATCGTGGCCCCTTACGAATTATGGGTTGATTTATTGACGCATCATGTGCAAACCTCTAGCAACAGGCGACAAACGCAGACATGTTGCGACTGACGAATATAAATCATAGCATGAATGGAGACAACCAAATCGAATCACCGGGTGGCGTGGGATCATTAACACTCGTCGTCGAAAACCGCCACCACTCGTTCTCGACTGCTCATGGAGCGAAGGCGACCGGTGCGAGAACGCGGTCCTGCAGTGTTTATCCGCGGCACGCCGCCGCCAACCACCACCACCACCACCGCTCGACTCCGCACCGTCGATCGGGAAAGGATTCGTCAGTATTCTTAAGATACATTCACAAAGCGGCGGTGGAAATTCCAGGGCTCATTTATTGAGTCCACAAATAATAAAAAAAAACCGGGGGGCATTTACAGTGCAATGAAATGAGGGATTACAACAATCCAACCATCACGTAATTATTTTTGGGTGAGAACTCACGAGACCGGGATTGAGTTTAATTTGCAAGTGGCCCTGGATATGGAACAGCGGCAGCGCATTCTCCGTTTGTCGTAGAGGCTCACGGTTTTCAAACCCGACAGGCCGCCCTGGGAATTTATACAGAAACGTGCATTAGTTGAAAATTAATTTGCTGCTGTACATTTCCACATGATAGGCCACTTTGAGCTATCATTTTTGGCCAGGTTGCTTCTGAAAAAATAAGTTACTACCTCGGTGGGCTTTGCCTGGTAGAAAGGGGATTGTATAGTTTTATCTGTAGGCTTTTGGGCGATTTGTTTACCTTTGCCGGAGTTTGCACTCCCATCGTGTTTTTGTATTGTTTGCTGTTGTAACGTTTTAACCCACCCCTACTTGACATCTGTGAAAAATAGCTTTACAGCTCATCGGATTCCTCCAGTATAAATACAATATTCCGATTCTGATTGCTGTAGGCGTCTTAACCAGAAAACGCTCCCCGCCGTCTGATGCACAGTGGACGTCAAAGATCCCGCGACGGCGTTCGAAGGAGCATTAAGGCCACGTGTGCTTGCGCCACGCAGTCCAAAGTTGGCAAAAAAATAAGACCACCTCGCTATTTATTCAACCTGGGATTGTGTAGTATCTGTAAGAATGTTGAACTTCTTTCACACCGTACGCAGCCAACCGTGCTAACCGGAGGCAATCGCGGGCCCTGCCCCACTGCGAAATTGTATCAGGACTTTCTTGAAATAAAAGTCAGCACTCGGCGAGGCTTAACCTGGGTAAACAAGCGTAAAAGTAATAATATTAATAATAAAAACCAGGCCAGCTACGGCAATTGACTTGACATCAACGATGTGTACGAACGCGTACCGAAGATGATGACGGTAGTGGGAGGAGGGCGGCGGGCGGGGGGTGTGGGAGGAGAAACGCGTGAATTTTCAGTTTATTGCAAAAATTTGTACAGACGCGGGAAAACATTGGGAACAGCCGAAATGTGGCCGTGGAGACCGAGGGAGTCACACCGGGCACGCTCCGCCCGCACCTCGAGTCGACAACTGTCCACAATCGTGAGCTGTTACAGAAGTAGTAATGTCACGTACAAATTAAATACACCATGCATCGTTGTTATCGGGGGGGGGGAGTTTGTCTTTAAACAGAATCGCAAGCAGTTTCCAGCAGAATGAACGCACCGGATCGATAAACAAGACATAAAACTGCATGGCAAAACAAGTTTTAAAAAATGAAGCGTCACCGACCCTTGTAATAGCGGCCTACGCGCCACTTCATGTGCGCACCGCCAGAAGTAACAAAAAAAACACTCTATTACTCTTAAAATCATTTTTTCAACAACAGACTGATTACATACATTATGCTGTTCAACTTTACATTTGACATCTCTATTAGAGTTGACTGTTTAATGTCGCAAGCGCGTTGACAGAGCGGTGCAAAGTGTGGTGTCCAGACCTCGTCAACATCAACTTGAGGCCAACTCTCCCCATGCGTCATCCAAGCACCGGGGATAGAAAGCTCCGACTCTCTCGTGATCACCACAAGGCCGGATCCACATGCCACAAGTCAAACAGACGCAGGCAGTGTGCGACGTAGGACTTTGACCGTTCCTCCTTGACTTTCGACTGCGCTTCAACGACAAAGAACGTTTCCACTCGAGGTGCGTTACGCAAACGGCCACTCTGTTTTGGTGGGGTTGCCAGAGGAGGTCCCGCCAAACAAACGGGACGGCGGCCCCAATAAATCCACTTTGGACGCGGGTCCAGAGCTTACTTATGTGAGTCGCACTCTTAATAATAAAATATTTATAAAATGTATTGAGCAGGCTCTGTAGAGCGAACTCGGTAAAAGCTTCCACCGGAAACAGGGCCGCCGTCATCCTCTTACGCGCAACAGGGATGCGTTTGAAAACCCAAACGGAATTCAAACGCTCGACGCTTTCATATTTATTCGCCAGGATAAACTAAACTCCGCTCTCTGTGATCGTCAGCAGGGCAATGCCAATTGGGATTTGCTCCGTGGTGGTTGGTCACAGACCTCCCCCCCGCCCCCACCACTCCCCCCCCCCAACGCCTTCAGTGCCGCCTCCCCAGCAAGCCCAGGGTGGTGTCGCGCTGCCCGGGAGCGATTTGTGTGCCCATCCCCTGGCTGCAGGCAGCCAGGGGATGGGCCAGAATCCAGAGCTTGGGCTCCAGGGTCACGGTGCGACACGGAATTTTTCGGAGACAATCGCTGAGTCGGCGAACCGGAAAGCCCTCCGTCGACGCCCGGTGGATTGTGACAGCTAAGCGTCGGCCTGGCCTGACTGCAAGACCCAACCCGGCGCGGCGGTGCCAAATTGCTAAGCGGTCTGGCACCAAAAATATATACACAACTTAAGAGCCCTGGGCGCGCAGGCGGGCGAGAGACAGTGAGAGACAGGCCGCACGCTCGTTCAGTCTTTAGAGAAGAGGTCGCCCGCCGAAGGTAGCGGGGCCAGCCCCTTGGTGCTCGCGGGAAGTTTGGAGAAGTCGGGCAGGTTCTGGATGTGCGTCCTCAGCTCCTTCCGCACCAGCGTCACCTTCGCCAGCTTTTGCTTGTACTCCTGCATCGCCACACGTGCCCGCCACGCGCGGCAGAAACAGCATACGGGGCACACACACGGCAGTCCGGTGAGCGCAATGACGGGCCGACGTGCCGACGCTCGCAATTTAAGAATGCAGCACATTTACACCTTGCTGAGGTTATCATACCATGCACTTCAAGGGGTAATTATACTTCGATCTAAAGCTTTCGTGACTGCAGGGATTTATATTCTTGGTTCTTTCGGTAAAGTCACGTAGAAGGGAAATAATATTATTATTTTATTATTTCCCTTCTATGTGACTTTACCGTAAGAACGAAGAATATGGTAATTATACTGTTGTGTATATATGCGATGTGTTCCCAACAGCGTCATTTCTTACATATATGAGGGCTTCATTTGGGTATTGGTAACCGCGCTAATAATAAACATGATCTCATGATTAAAAATAATATTATTATAATAACTTAAGTATTATGGACTGTAATTACCAGTGCATTCTGCTGTACTTCTACATGGCAGTAGTGAGAGACGAGGTTGGAGGAGCTATGGGCGGGTGTGTTTTTTAAACATCGGCGAGGGATGTTCGTACTGTAATAACATTGAATGATAAATGATGCAATAACATTGGGAATTTTTTTTTAAATGCATAACCGTGACCACGAATAGTGATAATCGAACCGCGGCGGGGAGGGGTGCTCCTGGCTGGCTCGGTGCATCCGTCGATCTCATTGGCCAAGCTAATGCAAACAAAATGGCGGCGGGCGCATTTCCTCAGTGCTGCGTTCCCTTACTCGTAAGCACTTTTTTCTATTTTGTGATTTTCTTAATTTTTTGTTGTTGTACATGTATTTCTCCAGGACAAAGAGCACTGTAATGAATCGGCGTTCTATGGGGTCGTGCTAAGCGAGGTCTGCCTGTACCAAGCTGGTGACTGCCTGGCGTGTGACATGTCTGTGCAACGTGGAGATACTTTTAACGAGTTGGCATTGTGGTTTATATGCTGTTCGATTTTTTAGCTTTGGGAGTGAGACAAATTATTATTAGGGTCCCCAAATTTTTGTTTTAAATGAAGGACATGGAATATCCACTCACATTATTTCAAGGAAAAACGATACGAGGTTTACTCTTTGGTTCTTTCGGTAAAGTCACGTAGGTAGACAAAATAATAGATCATGACGTTTCGATCGCAACGCAAGCGACCTGAAGACGTGACTTAACCGAAAGAACCAAAGAGTATGGATTCCTGCAGTCACGAAAACTTCAAATCAAGATTATACAAGGTATGTATGTTGAACCTCTTTCGCACCGTACGTAGCCAACCGTGTTAATCGAAAGTGCAGGGGAAGGACAGCAAACTAAGGTAAGGCGGTCAGGGTGGGTGCACATGTTGTACTCCGAGTAGATAAGGTGATGTACAAGATAGAATAGACATGACTTAACGGACATGTCTCAGGAGCAGGACAGACCAGTTGTGTGGACAATGTGTGCATGGCATGGCAGAGACAGAGGTAATGGAGATTCCTGACAGTTTGGTGGGCAGGTTGAACAGGCAACGTGCAAGCGGTAGGGCGGACAGCGCAGGGCTAGTAGCAAAACAAGGGTACGGGCACCTCCAGCTTGCGCTCCTTCTGGGCGAGCAGCTCCTTCTGCGAGCGCAGGTAGTTAGCGAGCATGCGCGCCAGCTGCTTGCGGTCATCAAGTTCGGCCGCGAGCCGCCCGTTGTAGTCGGCCAACAGCACGCACGCCTCCTCCACCATCCGCGACAGCCGCTCCGCCGAAGGTGCATCTGCAAGCCAATCGACCCGGCACGGTCCCGTTAATGTTTGCCAGGCGCGGGCGCAACAAAGGGTTGGGGTTTGACGCGTGGGTGGGTGGGCACGCATGCGTAGACGGAAGCGGTCAGAGTGCCAGCAATTCCACGTTTAACGGAAAGCCCAGGTGTCGCAAAGCCATCGAACCGTGGCGACACCTCGTACCGAACGTACGTTACGACTATCGTAGGGCACCTTTGATCTTGGAGAGTAGCGAGGGGTCCTGCACCTCAGGAGGCAGCGCTGCTATCCTGCGCCGCACCGCCGCATCTCCCGACGCCGCTTGTTCCAGCTCCTGCAGTGCCTTGATCAGCTCCTCCGTCTGTCGGCAGGTGGGCGGTGGACAGAAAATGTTGCATTCGCTCATGAAAATTGGGTGTCAAAAAGTATTACGTACAATTTTTTTATCGTTTTAGTTTATTTATTTGACAAGAGCCTGGTAAAAGGCACGAACCGTAATAAGTGGGGTGGGGGTGTGTGTACAAAAATTCCGCGAACTCAGTGCTCCTGGGTTCTGGGACGGGGAGAAGATTGGGGCTCAGCGCCCCCACTCACGCAGGGACTACAAGCAACGGGAAGTGGTAAGGTTTAATAAGGTGAAGGGAAGGCCAAGGAAAGAGGAACAAAAGTAAAGGGGGGGGGGGGGGGGGGGGGGGTAACGTAACAAAAGTCCAAAACAAAATAACCTACACACACGCCAAAGTGAACTTACGTCAAAGTTTTTTTCTCATTCTAGCAAACAATGAGCTGACGAAAGCCGTCAAAGTGTGACGGCGACCGTGGCCACCCGACAGAGACAGAGCGAGAGAAAGCGAGAGGACGACAAATCAGGGCCGGTGAGGTTCACCTCGGGGGGTTCGCGCGGGGAGCAGTTGACGAGGTAGTCGTCGTCGTCCTCCTCCTCAGTCTTGGCCACCTGCACCTGCTCGTGCCGCCGCTTGGCCGCCTTTTTGTCGCCGCCGTTGCCGCTGGCGTGGCCTGCGGCGACGGGAGGCGGCCTCTTCTCCTCCGCCTGCCGACTCACGTCCGGCGCCGCCTTCTTTGGCGCGTCGCCACCGGGCAGGGAACCTGTGGCACAACCCATGCGTCGGCGCGCGTCAGTGAGCGCCGACGTCGTCACCACCGAGCTCCCCACGCGTGGTGGCGAGCACGAGCGAATGGCGGCAACAAACGAGAGGAGCACCGCCATTCAGCGGCGAGCACGGAAGTTTAGAACGTCGTTGTGGGAGCAAGCCATTGTGTGCCTTCATGTCACGGCTGCGTACAGAAGATCCGTAATGATGGGTTGGCCCTTTGGCTACCTGAGATGCGTTTGGTTCATTTGCTGTTCGAACATGTAGGTCAAGATGTCACCATGGCTAATTCTGCCGATGCTACCACCCCCCCCCCGGCAGCATTTCCTTCCTCACGCCAGATCCAGTCATTGCTGTCGAGTCGAAACCCAACCTCGGTGTCCGCTCTCACGATAGTCCACCGCTCAGCTTTTTTGGTCTTGCAGTTTGTCGCCGAACCATGAGAAATTACGTTCGTCGTTTAAATTGAAAGCGTAATAAATAAGCCAATCAATTTTACTTCATAGTAGTTTGTGAGTTGGTTGACAAAAACCACGTGATCGATACGCAGTGAAGGAGGTCACGAGAACGCCAGACCCTGTGAGGAGGCATTCAGTAACGCGTAATCACGAAACCGGTGTGTAGTTTTCATCTTATTTGGTTCTAAATGTTTTTTTATTCACAATGAGAAATTCTCTCCTTTTTTTATTCCGTCCTTTTTTACTTCACCCATGATTTTTTTATGATGATAATCATCGTGATGGTGATGGTGGCGACGGCGACCACGATAATGGTAATCAAGTTGATGACGGCGGTGGCGGCAAAAGGTGCGAGTCTTGACGATGATATCGGAACTCACCGATGGCCCGTCGGATCTGGTCGATGAAGTCCGCCTCGAAGACGGCTCTCTCCTGCCAGATGGCGAGCACGCGCTCCATGGGCCTCTTGCAGGAATCCTCCGCCTCTCTAGGAATCGTCGCGCAGGGAATCGGGGCAGACGCAGCGGGGACACACGCGCAGCCACTCAGCCAACATCGTCGTCAGCCATGGATTAAGGCCTCCAAAGCCGTCACCATCTGTCACAATACTGAAATGGAATAATCTACCGACCACCACGGTGGCGAGATGTTACCTACCTGGCCTGGTATACAGGAGGTCGTGGTTTTGATCCCGACCCCGACAACTGTATATTTGGAATTTGCATGTTCTCCCTGTGGTTGCGTGGATTTTTGTCCGGGTTCTCCTGTTTTTTCCTCCACATTTATAATCATGCATTTATAATATTTGGCCGCTATACATTTCCAAATGCTAAGTCACTTTGTTGAGGTTTTATTTGTGGCCAGGTCGTTTCTGACAAATAGTGGGCCTTACTTGGTAAAATAAAAAATAGTTTAGTTTGAACACAGAAGCTGATTATTTAATCGCTCCATCTCCTCTGTGGATGTCCTCTCGGGTGCACGTCCCATTCCTCGGCTGCCACTCCAATATTATTCTTTGAACCTCGGCCAATGAGGGGGTCCAGTAAGTTTAACGCCGCTGGGTTGCAGGGCTCCGTAACGACCGGTGAACTTCAATTCGCATCGGAGAAATGCGCAGAATGCTGCAAACTTGCAATTCGTGGCTCAAACCGACAAGCTTGTCCCAACTGACGGCGACGCTTGTGCCGTAACAACACTCGTCAGATGCCGACGGCGGGAGGGGGGAAGACGCTGAGGCACACGCCGCGGCATTGCAAGCCACGGCACGCGGCGGAAAAAAGGTAACAAATGGGGTCCCCCCACCCCACCCACCCCCATGCCCTCTATGGGGGAGTAGGGGGTGGGAAGATGCCCCGGGCCCGAGTACCGAATGTCTCATGCAATTCTAGAAATTGCGTAATCCAAGACTTCTCGCTCCGAATACACATGGGATTCGGGCGAAATAAATCACGTGACTTACGAGAGAGTTTAGGGGCAGTCGAGAACACTCACCAAGTCCGCCATTGCTCACGTCCACACACAGGCGCTCCCACACAGACGCACACCATCACAAAGAAAAAGATCCCGCGTATAGCCATAACAGACTTTTGGGGCAAGTGTTGTAAGCGAGGACCTATGCGGGCCAGCACGGCGCACGACGGGGCGGGTGGCCAGCACCATGCCCGTCCGCCTTCGTCTCCTTAGTGGCAATTTTTACACACCGCACCAGGTCACCGGTGTCGGTGGCCATAAGCGGGAATCGAACTCAGGTCGCCGGGTTCGTAGTGCAGTGCGCTAGCTTCTGCACTACCGCTCCACATATCACAAATACGCAAGCAGAGACACACACTGCCACACACTCATGAACACACACCCAAACTCACAAATGCGTGTGCACAATAGCATGCAAATACTCTATCCCATACACACACACATTGTAAATAAATACAGTTACAAAGATCACCCATATAACTTTTTAACAGACTGTTAGTGAGCAACTATTAAGGAGAGCACATTGCATAAGATATATACACACACAAAAACACCCTCTCACACACACACACATTAAGACATTCCCATGCAAAGTAATGCCCTCAAACAATTTCACACAAAAACCACTACAGCTGCCATTCGCCAACTGATTTACATACAGGCACTCACACACTCGTACAAATGCATAGAAAATCAAACCAACATCACTTGAAAGAAAAATGAATAATGTATACAACTTACCTCATCCATAGACTGACTGAACACACAGAGTGATTACATCATGGTGGCCATGTTGGTTTAGGGATTTTGCAGCGGCCATGTTGCATGGGGTTGTTTTCCTGGCAATTGATTGGCTGGTGTAGCGGGAGTGATGAGGTAATCTCCAGCAACCACTGGCGCGTGCCTCACATTGCAATTCCCGCTCAGTCGCGCACAAATACCCTTAGTTTATGTATGTAGTTTCGGAACCTACGCCAATCGCTGCCTGGTGGATTTTACGCGTATTTTCTGTAATCACATTCTTGGTTGAATAAAGAGAGCGTATTTCCATCCACACCGCATCACGATAGTGTTAAGTAAAAATGTAACGATTAAATCGCTTCATGAATCAATATCGATTCTTAAGTCTGTGCCATGTTGAGCTGGGTCACTAACTAGGCCACTCCTGACACCAAATGTAGCGTGTCTAACTAACTACACGGAGACGACTTCTGGAGGCAACGCGTTTATTTCAACAACTCTACGAACAGCGACTGTAACACGAAGGGGTATGGCCCCTTCAACCTGATAGCCTAAGGGAGGTACAGCCAGGTACGGGTACCCATTTGCGACCTTGGTGCGGCCGGGTACGGGTACGGGTAGGCCGTGAGTAACTGGTGAGTAACCGTTTGTCACTCATTTCCCAACGTCTTGTCTCTTCTCACAATTCAAGTTCCTAGAATCAACCCACCCGCGCCTGCAACATGGCTTCATCCCAGAGGTCGCAATCGGGTACCCGATACCCGTACACTACCCGATACCCGGCTACCCGTACCCGGCTGGGTACGGGTACCCGTTTGCGACCCTGGTGCGGCCGGGTACGGGTACGGATAAGGAATCAAAATCCGTTTCCGACCTCTGTGCTAGACCAACCCGACCCTGCCATGGTATGGGTACCACCACCGGTCCGCTACAACCCGGCTGACAAGAGCCTCGGTTGAGGGTCCCCGGGTGCTGGTCCAGTCTTCAGGTCTTGGAGGTTTTCAGGCTTGAGTTGGCAAACACTGCCGGACCCGTTCAGAGGGCCAGCTTTTTATCCCCAGGTCGGGGCTTACCCCTCCCCTAATGACTCCCCCACCTCCAGAACCTTCTGGAAGGTCTTAAGGGGTCTAAAAATCGGTGGGCGGTCTCTATCCCCCCTGCCCCCAGCACTTGGGGGTCTGGGGTTTCAACCTCCAGTCTCGGACCACCCAAAGGGGGTTTTACCTTCGGTCAACCCCTACACACCTCGTCCTCTCACTCGGCTGCCCCCTGTCGACCCGTGACCGTGGTGGCAGGTAAAGCGACCTACAGCGCCTTGTTATGGCGCAACATATGTATCAAACGTCGTGTGTATGAATACGATATTTTTAGCTTAGTATGTGTTGTACGCAATGCGTTGATGGCACCCCTTGCAGCCTTTAGTGGCCGCTACAATCTCCACAATGTAAGAAAATTCACGCTATAATCGAATCGCGACAATACAATTTTGAGTAGCGGGGTGTGGAGGCGAATCATTAAAACCCTAATTGGAAGACGTTTTTGAATAAAAAACTGAGAGCAGGCACTTATCACTGTTGTTATACTTAATATTTATATAATTTGTATTAAATTGTATTTGTTCTCAACTGTGCAGGATATTTTGTAAATGGTGTTTTGTATGCACCGGTTGATTTTTAGACGTTGGAAAGAGTTTGCTGTTCTTATTCCGACCTCGGTCTCGCTCACCCCCGTCCTGTCTAGTGTTAGCGCCGTTACGACTACGCAAAGCACAAATTTGACCAAACGCAGAACACTCTGCAGCTTTCCAATTTGCGGCGAGCACCCAGTTCCTACCTCACTGCACTCTACAGAAATGAACGTGAAGCAGCCGGATTGATCGAAGATCCAGAACTAATTCACTCCAGCCACTTTCATCCTCGCAGCGCCTTTTGACTAACCATGGAACAAAGACGAACGCTGCACCACACGCTTTCAGTTGCGCTTCTGCGGTCGTCTGGAACGCTCTTCCTTCCGATATTAGAAAGTCAGAAGATTGAAAACTAAATTCTTTACAACTGCTTTGTGTTTAGTTTATTGTCCTTCCCCCCGCACCTCCGATTAGCATGGTTGGCTACATACGCTGCGAAAGAAGTTCAACATATATGCATAGACACTCGCTGACCAGCAATCACTCTCGCCTCCTTATCACTCTGCTATCACTACTACTGGGTTTACCGTTTGCGTGAACTTCACTCGTTGATTCCGCCACCCGTGTTGAAGAAGCAGTCTATCAGAATGACGATTCAACCACCACAGTGCAGGTTGCAACTAGAAGCCGACCGAAACAGAATTTCTGGTTTCGGCTGAAACCCGAAACCAAACCGAAAGTAAAAAAATTATTTTCGGCCAAAACCAAAACCGAAAGTTTAACTACACTTTCGACCAAGACCGAAACAGAAAGGTATAATAATCAAAGTTACTGAACACAGGATTTCTGAAATTTGTCATGATGCAATGCTACTTTAATTAAAAATAAATCTAGAACTAATCATTCAGAGCCTGCAGTCAGTCACTAAATATAAAATCTTTAGGTGTGACTTACTTAGTAATTATATCCAAACAAACGAATGTTGTAGTTAAGAAACAACAGTTTTTCCGCATTCAGCCAGACAGTCTGTTGTCTGTTGACCGGTCGTATAAGCATTATCAGACCGTGGTTGCGGCTGTAACCTCGCTCCCAAGCTGCTGATGACGTGTGTGTGTTTGCAGCCTATCGCATAGGATTGCCTAGCGCCGACTGACCGTCCGATAGGCAGTGATAGACGTAGCTCTAGCGTTATATTCTAAAAATAGATCTTGGGTTGATGAATGACGACCAAAAGTCAATATCAGTTTCGGCCGAAACCGAAACCAGACCGAAAGTTAAAAATTGACTTTCGGCCGAAACCTAAAGTATGCTGAAAGAGGCCATTTGCCAACTTTCGGCGCAGAAACCGAATTTCGGTCGGCCTTTAGTTGCAACCCACCCATTCATTCATTCACCAACTCATGCACCCACCCACCCTTACACCCACCCACTTGGTGTGCCTGGTGTGAGGCTCGCAGGCTCACGAGGCGACCGAGACCTCGGAGACCCCCGCTCACCTGGCCACATGTCCAAAGGCGTCCACCAGCACGGGCCCAAAGTCTCGTCCAAACTCGGGCCCCTTCTTCTTGCTGTTCTGGATCACGTCGTTGGCCAGGTAGAGGAATGTCAGCTTCCGGCTCGGCTTTGCTGGAAGGCATAATACACAAGACAAAGAAAAATATCCCCTGTGTGGCTTTAACAGACTTTGGAGGCTAGTGTTGTTAGCGAGCATCTATGAAGGCCGGCACGGCACACGAGAGGGTCGGTGGCCAGCAACATTCCCGGCAGTCTTTGTCTCCCTAGTGGCGATGTTTATACGCTGCACTTGGTACTCATTTGAGGCTGTCGACCTAGGAGAGGCCAAGGACCGATTCAGATAATCGTCACTGGTCTTGGCTGTGAGCGGGTCGCTGGGTTCGTAGAGCAGCATGCCAACCACTACGCAACCGCTGATACACACACAAAGACAAAGTGGGAAGCGGCAGTGTAGTAGTTAGCGCGCTGCGCTACGAACCCAGCGACCCGAGTTCAATTTCCGCTCACAGCCAACACCAGTGACGATTATCTGAACCAGTCCTGGGCCTCTTCCCCCTAGGCCAACTCGGCCTGAAATGAGTACTTGGTGCGGTGTGTAAACATCACTACACACACACACAGGTGGACAAAACGAGCCGTCTGCTTCGTAAGATTAATTTCTACCAGGTGAGAGTCTACCGAGTTGGTGCGTTTTTTCTGACAACCGACCCAATCCCCCCGAATACTCTACACCCAAGCTTGTTGGGACTCGGAAGCCAAGCAGGCTTTGATCCTGCTTGGTACTTGTATGTGTGGGGCTACAAGGTGGCCAAGAAATGGCAGAACGGTACAGCAAAGGATGCCGAAGCCTGTTTGCCGCGTTGAGTGTTATCCTCTTGCGTGCTGCAATTTGCTGCGATTTTCTCCGGGTTCCTCCCACATGAAGCCAAACTCTCACGAAGGTAACCGGCCGGCCATCCAAATGCAGGAGTTCCAGAATAAAGGATTGAGACTTAAAGCGCTTTTCATGTATAAATAAAAAATAGTTTCCAAAACTAACATTTTTTTGGGTTAGATCACATAAATGTGTTATTAAACCCACCACAACCCGACAGTCAATTAGTAAGGTTTGTCAAGTAAACAAAACGTGCCAATTAATTACTAGTTCAGCACACTGGTGCGTTGGAGAGCAAACCCACTACAACATTTACAATTCGAGTACCGTGACGTTTCCCTGGTGATTACAACCAGCCTCATCAGGCGATCGCCAGAATTGTCCCATCAAGAGGTTTATGGGTCGCGAAAGGCTACGTTTCAAGTGAATGTTTGTCTCTTCTGTCTCTAAATTGACAACGAATGGTTTTGCAACAATGACATTTTTTCAGCCCTTTATCAACCCCACCACTGTATGAAGTCCTCCTTGGCCTTGTCTGTTACTGTAAACATTCTTCACCACACTAGTCAGCATAGAACTACGGTACGACAAAGGACTTTGCCTCACTGCCATCTGCTGCTTGCAACGTAGCTCCGCAGCAGCCTACGACACCTGTTACATGCATCGTGGCTGCCCATCATAGCACTATACAGACTCACCGTAGCTGCCAAAATCTGATGAGATTGGGTGCATTCCGGGTGATTTGGTCACATGACAATGACACTGCATTAAATAGAAAGGCAATAGTAATTGAGAATTTACACATTCATTGCATTCACCTAAAAGCCAGCCACAGTGACATTTGACCGTGTGTAAGCAAAACAACAGGGGTGGAGCGGTGGCACAGCATTTAAAGCAATGCGCTATCAACCCGACGATCTGAGTTTGATTACCGGGCCACGTATAACATCAATGGAAAGTGATGTCTGAAACCTAGGTGTGCACGGCCACTTTGCAAACCAGCACCGTGCATTGAGATGGAGTATAGTCAAACAAAGCACATAAATTGTTCACAAAGTAATTTGCGCTCAACACCCGTTCAGCAAAAATACCTGGCCATGATGCAAAAAACAATAACAACACTGAGAGCCAGTTACAGACCACGCTGCACTTTAACGGATTTTAGTGAACTCCCACCAATTGGTCTTGCATCGCGTTAGACAGGCAGTCATTGCCGATTGCGACGCAATGAACAATGTGTTTCTGGTTCCACAAAGCAGTTTATATTGGCACAAAAAAGGTTCAGCAGACACAACCTTTGCCAACGACTGAGACACCCTACCTGACCTCCACAATACTAGCCATCATTACATTCTTCATCAGCCATGATACAGCCACTGCCGAACGAACGTGTCACTAAGCCGTTGCTACGTATTTCGGACAAGACTCGCGATGCAACACTCCACCTGGCTCCATCACACGAGCCGAATTCAATGCCGTAACTTCAGTGGCGGACGCCCTCTCGGGCGCGTTCACTCCTTTGCTGGCCACTGCGTCGTTAAGCTGGACCTCCGGCTCAACAATTCCAGCCGCAGGCCCACCACGTACTTTCTTAACAATCAATCTAACTTGTGCAAGTTCTTCAATGCACGTGTTCCTCTTTATGTCAATGTCACCTCTTCCAAAAACCACAGTCACTGCATCGCGCGCTTTCAGATGTGCGTCTGCAGCCATCTGGAACGCTCTTCCGTCTCATATTAGGAAGCCGCTGGAGCTATGCACTTTTAATAATCTCGATTGAAAACTCCTTTCTTTAATACTGCTTTCTGTGTTTAGTTTGTTGTCATTCCCTCACACCTCCGATTAGCATGGTTGGCTATGGTACGAAAGTAGTTCAACATATACATACGCCTACCCATCTTTTTATAACACCACCCCAAACGCAACCTTGTTCCATCACCAGCAACTCCAAGATCTATTTACGCTGTCTCTTGCACCATCGCCTTCGACAACGCCTCGGTTGACTATCAACCCCTCAGGGTCGGTGGCTCTTGTCAAGAACTTCTGGCAATTTCAGAAGCATTTGGTTTGACTGGCCTGAGTGAGCTGATGAGACGAAAAAGTTTGAAACTGGTCTAGAACTTTCTGTAATAATCAATAGTTGCTGGTTAACATCAGCCTGGAAGTCCAATACCTCTATGGGCTAAAACATGTTACTTTTAACATTTGTTTACGTAAATTGTATCGCCCATAAATATGCACACATTTAATGAGCTTGTACATACTTACGACCTCGAACTGCACGATTCGTCTCCAAGGCTGTGCCCATACATGTCCGCCCAACTACTACTTAATTCCAACATCACCACCACCAACATCGACTGCACCTTTGCAAAGATGTATCCTCCCTTCACCTCACCCTTCGACACCACACACATGACCCCCCAACCCCTAGCTGCACCTTCACCTGGCAACTACACACCAGCAATGCCCTCTCAATGGTCAGTAAAATCCACTTTCCACCTCCACAGGTGGCTTCTGGCACCTGCGACCATCACCACCATCTCTGGCGTCTTCACGCCACCACCACCACCACAGCCACCACCTGTACTGCCAGCTCCACCAATCCAATACCAATTCTCGCCAATCGCCACGAAGTGTGGTGATGTCACCACGGCGACCGTGCCAGGCCAGGTGCACTGAGGCCACGTGATGTGTCGAAGGCTCGCGAACAGGTCTCGGGGGCAGACCCAGGTGCCATGGGTTGGCTGCGATGACTGGCAGATGCACCAGCTCTACCCCCTACTATGCTAACTTGCTGCATTTTATCTGCACGGCGCTCCGCTCATTGTTGTGAGCGTCGCTCCTCTGCCCTCCGTTGTTATTGGAGGGAGGCTGCCTTCAACTGCCCAGTAGCAGCAGCGTCCTTCACGAGCCTCCTCCACAGAGGCCGATCTTGACACCGCTGGTTACCAGTCTTCGACAAGTCCACTCGGCTCCACATCCTCCCGTATCGCATCAGTCCATCTCATCTCCAGCCAATGCCGTGGCCGTTTAGCCCCCTCGATGCGGCCAAACAGAAGCTGCTTGGGGCATGCGGTGGCTGGGCATGCGGGCTACGTGACCCAGCTTCACCACCTCCATTAGAAGCCACCAGTAGTAGCGCCAGGAGCACTACCAGTCCCGCACCTTCAGCGTCACATTTATGGAGCCACTTCACCAGATATCTCCCCACAGCACCTCGGCTGGCACCGCCGTCCTCAATGTCCACAGAACGGGCCAGGTGTGGGGAGTTGGGGGCATACTAAAAAACTAAACTATTTCTTTGTTACATTTTACCAGATAAGAATGCCCACTGAGCCGCTACGTAGCTCTTGTTCAGAAGCGGCCTGGCTATCACAAATGATAGTTCAACAAAGTGGAATTATCACGTAGAAATGTATAGAAGCCAAGTGCTCCAAACTCGTGATGTTAATTCCGCAGAGAAGTCCACGCGACCACGGGGGGAGAGAGAGAAGTTTAAACTCCAAATACACAGCAACAGCAGCATGGGTCAGGGTCGGGGTCGAACCCACGGCCTTCTTTTGCTGGTTTATCCCACGTTGTTTCTGTTGCGCGTCGTCGCTTTAAAATGTTCTGTGTTCATATTTTGTTTGTTGCGGTTGCACCCGACTCAAGAGCCGCATGGCTCACAGGGCTATACCTAATGAATGAAATGAAAACTTCTTGTACACCAGGCGAGGTAGTCAACATCTCGTCACCCACAGCCTGCCCACAAGCGCGTGCAGTAACCCCCCATGCCGACACGGGTACTCGCGTCTCCATGCCCACACGCTGTTGTGCCCGGGCCCATCCTCACACCCGTGCCCATACCTGTCCACGTGCATCAAACCCGTACCCATGACTCCGTAACCGTGCCATTAACCAATGCCCGTGCTCGCCTCCATGCACACGACCAGGGCCTGTCCCTGAACACACGAGAACGCTGGGCTCCGTACGGGGTTCAGCATACAGTGTACCCGCATACCTGTACCTGTCCACGTGCAAACACCCTCGTGTCTCCATCATGCCATTCATCATCATCGTGCCCGCGTGCGCACGTACCCGTGCCGTGCCCCACCGTGCAAGGGTGGGCACGGCTCGTGGGGTCTGCCCGCGTACCCCACGTACCCGTGCCCGCGTACCTGTGCCCACACGCATGCCCCCCCCCCCCCCCGTGGTTTGCAAGAGTGCGCTCTGCTCACCTCGCTTGAGCTCGCGGTGCCAGACCTGCACGACGCTGCGGGAGTGCTTCCTGTGGTGGATGAGCCACAGGGCGAGCGTCTGGACGCTCTGCTGCGAGTTACTCAGCTCGCTCAGCTTCTTCTCCAGCGCGGACTCCGAGAAGGACGACATTGCCGCCACCACCACCACTACGATTACAACAAGCCGTGGTATAGTGCCCGCCGCCGCTCTTAACGAAGGGAAGAAAGGGCAACCACGACGGCGGCGAAGACATGAACGGCAGGCGGTGGAGGAGCAAGGCGTGCGCCGAGGGAGGAGGCGAGCGGCGAGGTGGGCCACGCAAAATGGCGTCACCGCGCCGCCTTTGGCCGGGGCTCGGGCCGCTCTGGAAGCGGCTGCGCGCGGAGCTTCGATAAAGCAGAATGCCCCGGGGGCGCTCTTCGAACGGTGCGACGAGCGGGAGGGGTGGGCGCGAGTCCGGTGGGCGCGGTTGGAGAATGCCCCCGGGGCGAGTTGCGTTCGCGAAGTATTTCGCGGGTGACCGTAGCGGGCCCCCTAACGCTGTTGTGACCCAAACTGGTGGCTGCCAATGGTAGAGTGGATGTGGTGGTGGTGGAGTGGTGGTGGTGGAGTGGAGGTGGTGGTGGGTGGGTGGAGTGGAGGTGGTGGTGGTGGTGGCGACCCTCCAATGTGAGATGTCACTCAGAGGTCCCCACAGTCGTCACACCACGATATTTGTCATATCAGTGGTGTACCAACTCCACAGTAACAACACCACGATATTTGTCATATCAGTGGTGTATCAACTCCACAGTAACAACACCACGATATTTGTCATATCAGTGGTGTTTCAACTCCACAGTAATAACACCACTATATTTGTCATATCAGTGAGTGTGCCAACTCCACTGTAATAACACTACGATATTTGTCATATCAGTGGTGTACCAACTCCACAGTAATAACACCACGATATTTGTCATATCAGTGGTGTACTAACTCCACAGTAATAACACTACTATATTTGTCATATCAGTGAGTGTGCCAACTCCACAGTAATAACACTGCGATATTTGTCATATCAGTGGTGTACTAACTCCACAGTAATAACACCACGATATTTGTCATATCAGTGAGTGTGCCAACTCCACAGTAATAACACTGCGATATTTGTCATATCAGTGGTGTACTAACTCCACAGTAATAACACCACGATATTTGTCATATCAGTGGTGTACTAACTCCACAGTAACAACACTACGATATTTGTCATATCAGTGGTGTACCAACTCCACAGTAACAACACTACGATATTTGTAATATCAGTGGTGTATCAACTCCACAGTAACAACACCACGATATTTTTCATATCAGTGGGTGTGTAATTCGAGCAAGGACAGGGTGGGCGCTGCCTCCGCACCACTCACACGGGCCGGTGTATTGGAGAGGCGGAGCCTGGTCGTCGGGGTGAGAGGGGGCGGAGATAGGGGCAGTATGAGAAGGTGGAGTTTGGGTCACGTGAGAGAGGAGATATAAGGAGAGAGACGGAGGAGGAGGGGAGGAGAGAAGAGAGTGAACCACGGAGGGAGCCACGCTGGCGGTGGAGGGAGAAGTGGCGCCATTGCCACGTGGTTGGGGCCGATAGGCGTACTGGGGTCCAGCGTGCGCGGGCAGCGGAACGTGCGGGACCGCACGGAGAGAGAGAGAGCCAGCAGCATGTGCGGGGTACCCGAAGGGCGGTGTGACCCGGGCGGGTGAGGAGAGAGCACACGGAGGGGCCGGAGGAGACGGCGTGGCGAGAGCCACACGGAGCGTGCGCGGGGCGCACGGCGACAGAGAGAGAGTCACACGGAGCGTGTGCGGGGCGCACGGCGAGGGTCGGAGCGAGGACCAGCGGGTGCGAGTAAAGAACCCAATAAAGGACCAACGGAGAGCGACATATTGTGAAGGAGTCCATTATTACACTGGTGTCAGAAGTGAACCAAGATGTCTAAGCATCTTAAAAAGAAGAACGTACCTGCACCATCCTCGGACGACGAAGACGAGCTTCCAATTGAGGCGGCGTTCCCGACGATGGAAGGAGGGGGTGAAGTGCGGACGGGCGACGCGCCGGGGGTGCAAGAGGTTGTCGGTGCGGCGGGGCCGTCTGCTTCGACGGGCGCCGAGGAAGGCTGGCGGCACGTGACGGCTCAACTTGAGTTGCTGCGGGCCACGCTGACACAACTGTGCACCCTGGTGACAACGGCGGCGGGGCCGAATCGCCGAGCGGGGAGCCGTCCGCCATTGGGGCCCGCGCGACGCTTCCCACCCTCTCCGCCACGCGACAAGACGCCGCCATCTTGGGCGGGGCCGGGGACCAAGTGCGGGAAGCCGCCATCTTGTCACCGCGGGAAGCCGCCATCTTGTCACCGCGGGAAGCCGCCATCTTGTCTCCGCGGGAAGCCACCATCTTGTCTATGCGGGAAGACGCTATCGTGTCGCCACCGCATCAAACACCGTCGGCGGATTACGGCGACTCGGGGACCCGCAGCCATCGGCTGACGACGCTCAAGGAATTCTCCATTGGCGGCGACTGGAGTGCGTTCGCCTGCCGCTTTGAGGCGGCAGTCCGCTCTGCAAAATGGACGGATTCGGAGGCTCTAGAAGTCCTGCCGACGCTTCTGGATGACGAATTGGTCAGGTTTTTCCGCTCCATTAAAGCCACGAGAAAGACTACGCTGAAGGCTGTATTTGAAGATATGGCATATGGCGGAAGCTTATGAGCCCCCGGACGATGCCCATCGCAGGTTTATTCAATGGCAACGGGCTCCGGAGGAATCTCCCGTGGCTTACCGGGGTGCCGTCTTGGAATTGGCTATGGCCGCATACCCGGACACGGAGCCTGACTTGTTAGAGCCTTTGATTTTAGGAAAAATGTTGGAGCTGTCCAGGGATTTGGGCATCCCCATGCCTGTGTGCAGCCACGAACAACTGACCTCCCGGATAGCGGCTAAGTGCCTGGACGCGCAATTCAACCTGCGCTGGTGGAAGCAAGTTACAGCCTGGACGGGGAGCCCCAAGATCGAGGGCGGTGCCACGGGATGGGACCCGTCCAAGGCCCTGTATGTACGGGACGAGAGGGGGCCTGCAGAGTTGACGGCAACAGCGATCCAGCCGCCTACTCGCGGGGGTGCGGAGTTGGGGCCAGGGCCACCGTTGCGAGATCGCCAGGACAGGGGGGGCGCCGGACGTCGGCCTGACCTGTTGTGCTTCCGCTGCGGCCGTCGGGGGCACTTCGCCAGGGAATGTTGGGATCGCCCTCGCCCGCCGCTCCAGCAGGAGGCCCCTGCCAAGGAGGCGACGTGTCAAGAACAACCACGACAGGCAAGTCGGTACGCATCAGACACCTGGCAAGGCCTGTCACCTCATGCATCACTTTCGCCGCGGGGTCCGGTTAATGTTACTAACGGGGGAGCGCTGGAAGGGCCGCGTCGCTCGCTGATGCAGTGGCGTAAATTGGCACGGAGGGTGGTTGCGGCCGCTACCGGGTCGTCCACTGTGCCGGGTTCCATCTAAGGGGTGGACGTGCATATTTTGGTGGACTCGGGTGCGTCTGCGACCATTATCTTGGACGTTATATTTCACCTCCTGTCCATTCCTCCAGAGCGGGTGCGACCGGTTTACGACTCGTGCATAGCGGCGAATGGGGGAAGTATGGGCATTGTGGGTCAGGTGGACACCAGCATAGCGGTTGGGGGTGTTTCGGTTTCTGGGACGGTGTTGATTTCTAGGTCCCTCGCTGTGCCCTGCTTGTTGGGAACGGATTTCCTGGCGAAAATGCCCATTCAGATTAGGGTGGATCAGAATTGTATCCAATTACCGGGGGGCCGCCAAATTGCCTTCTTGCCATCACCCTGGGGCCAGTCCGTTCCTGACCGCCAGGTGCAGGCGCTCTCCGACGTATCGGTTGATGTTCCACCTGGGTCGCAAATGCTTATTCCGCTGCGTTATCGGAAACCGGTGCCGGGAATCGAGGGGGCGGAAGGTGTCGCCGTCCAATGCTCTAACGGGGGGTTTGACGCTGGTCGGGGCGCAGACGATTGTTCGGCCGGGTCAACCCCCGTTTTTGCAAGTGTTGAATGGGACCGCAGATAATGTTAGTGTGCTGGCCGGAACTGTTTTAGCTCATGCTGCGACTGCTTTCACGGCCCATGGCGATGGGGGCCCCCGGGGCCTCGTAGGGGGGGTCTCGACCTCCACGGCACAGGACGATCGCTGGATTGCAGAATTGTGTCGGGAGAATGTGTCCTTAACTGGCGACCAATGGTCCGCGCTTCGCACGCTGTTGGGAAAGTATTCCGACGTTTTTAGTTCGGACGATTTCGATTTGGGACGCACTTCTCTGCTCTCCCACCATATTGATACGGGAGATGCCGCTCCGATTCAGATGAACCCGCATCGGTTGAGTCTGTCGGAGCGGGATCATATATGGGGCGCGGTGGAGGATATGCTGGCCGCCGACATTATTTCCCCGTCCAACAGTCCGTGGGGTGCTCCTGTGGTCCTTGTGAAAAAAAAGGATGGGAAATTGCGGTTTTGTGTCGATTTTCGCAGGTTGAATAAAGTGTCGGTTGCGGACGCGTACCCCCTGCCGCGTATGGATGACTCCCTCGATGCCTTGTCTGGGGCAAAACGTTTTTCTACTCTCGATCTTTCATCGGGATTTTGGCAACTTCCCTTGGACGAGTCCTCGAGGTAAAAGACGGCTTTCCGTACGCCGCAGGGCTTGTTTCAATTTAATTGTCTCCCCATGGGCTTGAACGCCGCCCCGGCGATGTTCCAGCGATTGATGGAACTCGTGTTGACCGGTCTGCAGTGGGACACGTGTCTGATATATTTGGACGATGTTATCGTCTTCAGCCGCACGTTTGAGGAACATCTGCGGAGATTGGACGCGGTGTTTGCGAGGATGCGTTCCGCTAAATTGAAGTTTAAGCCTAAAAAGTGTCACCTGTTGCAGCGATCCATGCGCTATTTGGGCCACATAGTCAGCTCGGACGGGCTGGCCACTGACCCGGAGAAGACGGCGTGCATCCGGAACTGGCCGACTCCGGCCTCAGTGGGGGACGTGCATCGGTTCGTCGGGTTCGCTCCTTATTACCGCAGGTTCGTGCCTGACTTTGCCACAATCGCGAGGCCTTTACACCTCCTTACGGCGAAGGGCCGGAGGTTCAGTTGGGGACCGGCGGAGGAGGCGGCATTTCAAAGCCTACATGATCGTTTGGCATCGGCACCGACGCTGGACTATCCGGATTTCACTCGGCCATTTATCCTGGATACCGACGCGAGTGACACGGGGATTGGGGCCATCCTGTCCCAATCTAGGGACGGCGT